TTTTGCAAACAGGAATGTATTTCTTATTTTTGCCTCCCCCTTTTTAAGAGTCTCCTATTTGAAGGTGGATTTTCTTCATGCTAGAATCCTCTGTCTCTTGATTTCTTTTGTTCAGTGTGTTGATCCCTTTGGATTTTAATTTCTTATTTACTCCAAGCACTTTGCTGATCAGCAGCTTCTCCTGGAATGCTTTGCAGCAGTAACAGAACTCCTAATTCATTTCAGATTTTAAAATTATAGTTGTATCTTTCATGAAATTTAGGGAAGGGAAACACAAGTTTCTTCAAGACCTATTAAATGCAACCCTACCAAGTGCTCCATTTTTACTGGTGGCAGAACAAAGAGAAAAAGCAAAACTGGGATTCAGATCCGTCAGACTCCAGGCTTTTTGCTGTCCTGYTCTGGTTAACCAAGATTTGGAGMTGTGGAACATATTTTATAGCAATACTCAGAAAGTAGGTGTTGGCACACATTCTTATATAATTTGTTTTATAATTGTCTCAATAATTAAGTCAGCTGGACATCTTGAAAAAACTTTTCAATTATAAACTTCAGAGTATACATTCCTAGTAAAGTGACCCTTTAGGCAGAGATAGCATTTATGTAGAAGGCTTCTGCAAGCCACATTCTTGTTTCACTGGTAGAATGGGGGAGTTTAGCCTTCCTAAGAACTGTCCCCAGCATTTCTGCAGCCAAAAGCTGCTATTTCTCCCTGGCTGCATAGAGTTGAGGTCATGGTATCTGCCACTTTTTATTCCTAGTAGTAGTAAATTTAGTATGTTCTGTCTTTACTGCTACATTGTAAAACTTTTTGGAGTCAAGAAGAGTGTTATTAGTGAAAAACAAAAATAACGCATTTTAGCTCCCTTAGTGCTTTGGGTACTATTTTTAAAAGGATTAATAAATAATTATATTCAAGAGGAGATGGTCTAAAAAGARAAAAATGAAATAATCCAGTTAAAGACCAGCTATTTTGTTTTGCATCATTCTTAGTCATGGCCCTTTTCAAGATGTAGTGGGCTATAGAAATCATCTAATAACAAATCCTCACTAGACAGATTAGCTAATGAAGGGCTAACTCAATTAAGGTCTTATAGTTACTTACTTAGTGGCTTCATATTGGCACTTTTGTTTTGAAAACGGTTAAACCTAAGCCTTATATTATGGGCTTCACGTGCCATAGCTGCAAAAATCAAAGTGTGGGTCTCAGCATTGCCAGGACCAATGAAACTAGACCTGGAGCTACTTTGCCAATTCTATTTCTCAATTTCCAACCTCTCTGGTTGCCAAAGAATTAAGGTTTTAGAGACTTTTTTTTTTTCCTCCTATCTTAACACTGGGTTTTTACAGCAGCAGAAGGCACTGTGATGTTGGGGGCTACTTGGAAACTTAGATAACCACGAGATAGCTCTGACCAARTGCAAGGATTCTGGCCTGATGTTGACTTCCTGCATTTAGTTTTTAGCTCCTCAGCTTTACTAGCTGTGTGACCTTGGGCAGATAACTAGTGTTCCTCTATTTTCATCAGTTCATTTGTGTTTGGGGCTTTTCTGGAACATTGGGATGGTCAATAAATGTTAGCCGTTATGATGATGATCACAGAATGTCAAATAGCTTGAGCCACCCTTATTCAATCAGGATTTTCCTTTTATTGGCAAGAAAAGTGTTCACTGAAACTCCTCCTGAGATTTCATAATAGAACTGATTTGGCAGGTAGAATTTCAGTAGAATCTGGAAGGTTTGTATGCGTTAATATTGGGTATGAGGTCCTTCCTGATAAGACGAAATAGTGTGAGTCCCTGTTTTCTGAGGGGCAGATCCCTGGGTTTGTTGTCCCAGGCACAGTCTAACCGCAGCACCAGGTGCTCCCTGGGTGAAGTGGCTTCAGCCCCTGGGGAACTTGAGGTGGCAAGCCAAGGAGTTTGTATTGGCAGCCTGTGAGTACTGAGATGCCTTTGGCCACAAGATATAGAGGGAAGAAGAATTAGAGAAGGATGGAATGGAGACAGGGAGGCTGTGGAGTTAGTAGGAGTTGAGTGGGGGAGGATGTAGCATTGCTAAGCCTTTGGAGTTGATGGTGGTAGGGGAGATGGTTTCCAGCATAAGTCAGTAGTATTAACAGAAATAGGGACCGCTGGGGTTAGAAGGAAATGATTTCAGTTTTGTGAACATCAGCTTGCAGTGTAGATAGGAAACCCCAAGAAAACAGCCCTGCTATGATAAAAATCAAGAACTGGGTGAAGAGTTCAGTATTGGAGGTAAAATTGGGGGAGTCACTTATAGATCTGTGATAGTATTAGGAATGTAGGAATATATACTGTTTCTTAAAACTGGGACTATAGACTCAAATGAGATCCTGCATTCCTCGGATAGTGAGTGACAGTTAAGGAAAGTGCCCTGAAATGCTGGGTGTAGGAATTCAGTTCAGCTGCTGTGTGTGAGTCACCAGGTAAATTGCTCTGAGCCACTCCTTGCATTTCCTCCAGTGTTTTCCGGTTTTTAAGATCGCTCATGCACCAGAGGAGGAACTTCTATTTCCTTTTTGACCACCACATGCTGATAGGGCAGGGACTCTCCTTTAATACTGGGGAGAGAATTCGATTCAAATTTTGAAATTTAAAAAACAGCATTATAAAATTTACGTATTTTATTTCACAAAGAAGWCAGAGACTCTAAAGACGAAACTTTTAAATTTCAAAAATTCCAAGACCAAAATGTTTTATAACCCTTCATTTTGTATGTGGTTTTCAATGGGTATAAAAATACTCTGTGGGTGTGTGGGTGGTTTCTCATGTTTTGGAAAACGGTGAGAATATGAGATGCTGAGCTTTGGGTTCTGGGATGAGAGCTATAATTACTAACTCTGATTCTGCCCTAGGATTGGCTCATGGGTGGATATCTGGTCTCTAGAAACCCAACAAGCTAGAGTCCACAGCAGTAACCCCCCCCCCCCCCAAATTAAAGGAATGATTGTGATGGCGAGTGGAGGGAATGCAGGATGGGGTCCTTCCTTGCCTCTTCTATGTGCAGGCCATTCATTCCCCAGCTGCTCAGGTCTGCATGGTGAGAGTGAAGCTGTTGCAATGGCGACTCCCAGCCTGGTGCACAGCAGCAGCTGTGATGGAAACAGTTTTAAATATAACCCAGGACTTATTTCAAATCCTCCTCCCCCAGGTCTTGGCGGATGTGGTAAACACCCTAAAAATACCTGCTGTCTGAACTTTTGAGGTATCTGAAGAGGAAGGGGCAGGTACTAGAATTGGGGTTGGAAGAAGTCCACTGTTGGTAGGAGGCTTGTCCGGCTACCAGGACTGCTGCCCACTGGGCCTGCTCCCGAAGCTGTTTGGTGGGCTGTGGACCATGCCATCCTGTTAAAGCATAAGTGGCTGCTCTTGAGTCTGATATTCGCTGCTGTTGGCAGGTTTCAAGGAAACTATTCATAGACTAGACATCTGTTGTGTCCTATTGACCTCAGACCTGCAGCTGCCAGCGTGGTATTCATACAGTGTGTTGGGTTTTAGTTTTAGTTCACAGAATCAGAATTTTAGAGCTGGTATGGATTTTAGACATTGTTGTTAGTAAAACCATTAAAACCCATTAAATTGCTACATTTATGAAGTCACATTATTGTCTTTATATAGTAACCATAGGAATTTGAAATTGGAGTCTCAGTCTTTGATTATTAAAAGAAATCACTTTCATAATAATATAATATAGAATAGGATCGTGAAAACCAGTCTTTAAAAATCATTGAGTAAGTAATTCCATGCAAAACTTTTTTTTTCCCCTTTTGTGGTACTGGGAATTGAACCCAGAGATACTTTACCGGAGAGCCACATCTCCAGCCCGATTTAGTTTTAATTTTGAGATGGGGTCTTGCTAAGTTGCTAAGGCTGGCCTAAAACCTGCAGTCCTCCTCATGCCTCAGCCTCCTGAGTTGCTAGGTTTACAGGCTTGTGTTACCATGCCTGGCTTCCTTTTCTTTTCTTTTCTTTTTTTCTTTCTTTCTTTCTTTCTTTTTTTTTTTTTTTTTAATAGTATCAGTGAGGCTCATTTCCTCACCTGGACTTCAGTATTTTGAATGTAAATTTCATTGGTGACACAGCCAGACTACCAGGAATCTTGCTTTCAAGGGGAAGACTCTCAGTATCCAGATTCTGGAATTGTAAAACATAATCATGGTATTATGATTGAAGGACCATCGGTGAGTTCTGTTCCCCAGGAAAGCAAGGTTTCCTACATTATCCATAACACTCATGAGACACACATAAAGTTGTAGAAGCAGTCAGTGTTATCTTATAAAGCAGTAAAAGTCACTGACTTTTAAAATGTGTGATAACTACTTTACCCCAGTGTCCATCAGTACATTCTGAGAAGCTCTTGGGAGTACAAAGCCTGTGCTAGCAACTGTGCAGAGAGCAGAGAAGCCCTCACTAAACTTGCACAGTAAATGGAGGAGATGGAACCAGTCTGTGCACTTAGTTTTTAATATATTGCATTATGGTGGTTATAACATTGCCTTAATTGTAATGAGTATATATCCTCCACTGTGAGCTTCTGAAAGCTCCTTTATATATCTGGAAGAGTGTTGGTTTGTTTAACTATGCATTGAAAATAAATTGAAAGTTTTCCTTGAGTGATGGACACTACCAAGATGGTTAGAGTCTTTTTTTTTTAAATGTTACTTAATGAATATCTGAAATTGCACTTCTAGAAGCTTATATTTTTTAGGATCAGTATACCTAATAAAAACAGTAACACATGGAGCACGCTGGGATACAGTCTGCTTTAGAAAGGAGATTTTGTGACATTGTGGAAAGAGCATGGCTTTGGAGTTGTTAGTGCCCTCTGTTGGAAGAAGCCAAGGAGGGTGTAGACACTGGGCAGTCTCTTTATGTCCACACATGTCAAGGAGAGAAGGGAAGAGGTAATAACTGTAATATGTTACGTTTGGTGGTATAGTTCATGGCCTCTCAAATGTTTCTTCTTTGGAATTTCAGAATGAAGAGCTTCGAAACTTGTCCCTTTCTGGCCATGTTGGATTTGACAGTCTCCCGGACCAATTGGTCAACAAGTCTACTTCTCAAGGATTCTGTTTCAACATCCTGTGTGTTGGTAAGTGATTGGTCACCTGCTGCCCAGCAGGGCATCTGACCCTTGGATGTTGGCAGGTGAGTGTCAGAGGGGCATGTTTCAGGGAAATAAGGAAAATGATGCTTTTACTCTTTTTCCTTCGGAAAGCACGGAAATAATACTTGCTTTACATAGGTAACACTATTGTAAAGACAGAGTTGCTTTTGGGCAAATGCTTTGTAGGTGTTGAGGTGTTACTCCAGTTATTATTTTTGTCACATGGCCAAACAATATCAGTTTAATATGGTTATTAAAATACTTATTTTAATTTTTTGGTAGGGAGTGGGACATGGACCCTAACTAGACTATAGAAAGTTGAAAGAAAGAACTGAGATGCCTGCAATAAAAATATTCAAAAGCTTTATAAGAATCTGCTTCTAAAAGATGGGCTGAGGCTCAGTGGCATAGCACTTGCCTAGCAGGAACAAGGTGTGATGCCTAGGACCCTCTTCAAGATTATGTTATGTTATATATATATATTTGTGACTAGAATCTGTTTCTAGGTTTTTCTGATTATAGTGAAATAATAATCTCCACTGAAGTCTTTTTAAGATATACTACCTGCAGAAAGTGAAATCTAAAGCACTCTAACTACTTAACTATCCTTATGCTGTTTAAAACTTTTGCTTCTAGGACAGAAGACAGTCTAAAAATTCTATTTTATATCTGAATTTTTTTCAGATATAAAAATAAAAATGTTTTATATAAATGTTAATATAATTGTTTATATAAATGTTTTATATAAAAAAATAAATGTTTTACCTTAATTATTGAATTAGCCTTCTGTCTTTAGTTGGGATCTAAAAATGACTTAGTTTGTTCTTGGTAGACAGATGGAAAAGTCCAACGGATGACATGCATCTGCAGTATATTTTATTCAGATCCCTTAAATGTTACATGTTAGCCCAGGCCTCCAGCCTTAGTGTATTTTCTTTCTCTTCTAGCCATAAACTCGATGGAGTGACTGAAGTTCTGGGGATTGAACCCAGGACTTCACCCATGTGAGGCAAGTGCTTTGCCACTGAGCTACATCTCCACTCTACTATTATTTTTAATTTTGAGGCAGGGTCTCACTAAGTTACCCAGGGTGGCTTTGAACTTGCAACCAGCTTTTAAATTAAGAAAAGGAAGGTAGAAAACAAGGAGAAAAAAGAAGAAAACCAAAATATAAATATAAATCTTCTAAAATATAAATCTTCTAAAATATAAATATAAATCTTCTACTGGTCACCGTCCTGTGACCAGGCTAAATAGCAGGGGGAGGCTTGGGCTGCATTGTTTTTTGCCTTATTTCTCTTTGCATCTAGATAGCACTTGAGACAGATCAAAGCCCTTCTGTATGTGGCCAAGTGGAGCATTCTTCCTTTCAATTTGACTTACTTCTGTTGTCCAAGTAAAATGAAGTGCATTTAGAAAAGGTGTGCATTCAATGTGAGAAGCACCACTGACTGACTTGTTAGTAGTGGCATTTGGGGGAGCAGATGTTTTTCTTTTTCAAAAGCTTCTTGAGGAATTCATAGCCTGTGGCCTCTGCATTGGGCATTATGAAAGCCCGTAACATAGAAAGCCGTAGTTGCCCGGTGCGCTGGGCCAGCTTGCTGTCTGGCATTATGTCTTAAGCACTGGATAAGGAAATGACTGGAGAGAAATGGCCGAAGCAGCCAACTCTCATGCTTTGCTCCTTTCCCTGCATGAAAGCCTTTTAAAATTCAGCAGGGGATCTCCTGCACAGCAGCTAGTTCTACAGAGTGGCATAAATAAGTTGTCTTTTGGTACATGCTCACTGCAGAGCAGGGCAATTCTTCATTAGCATAGCAATTTGTTGGCAATTTGTTGGTTTTCTGTAGAAAATTATGCTAAATTGTCATCTTGGGGCAATTACTGTTCTGGCTTTCAAACCTCCCCGGCCCTGTCTCTAAAATCCACTTCAAGAACATATCTGAAAGCTGTGTCCTGACTCCTGCATAGTAGTGGAAATCCTGCCAGTGGAACTGGACTAGTTGGAAGGGTCAGGTCTAACCAGCTGTGTGGTGTGAGTGGTGCAGTGGCCAGCCTCTTGTGTTAAACAGCACAGTTCTGATGCAGGTTGGAATTCCTCACAGGCCACACCAGTGCTGCCCTGTTAGACTTGTAAGCACCTGCTATCCTGACTTCCCTGGGTGGGTGAGAATATCTGGGATTCTTAGATTGTATTATGTTTCCACCCTTAAATATGGTTAAGATTAGTTTTTTTTCCAAACTTAATGATTTGATATATATTTAAAGTTTGAAAGTTATAAACTTTCCCCCTTTGACTTCCCACTCCCATTTCCATTCCATAGTGATAGCATGTGGGATCCTCCAGGAGCTTTCTACATCTTTCTGTGGTAAGAAATCATTTCTGGTGGCAGTTAACACCACCACAGTATTATCTWCCACTTGTGTAGGTGGAAGTCTATATGGGTCTGCAGGGCAGTGTCTTTTTAGGGAACCCTCCAGGGCAGGACGCGTGCTGCCTGCAGTCCTTGGCTCTTGGACGCTTTACTCTTTCTCTAACGTCAGCAGTGTGGCATCTCTCTAACGTTCTTGTATTTTCCATAGAGAATCACAGAGATCCAATTTAAATGCAGTTGAGACTCCCCCTAGTCCCCAACATACACTAAAAAGGTAATATGTTGAATCTTGGAACTAAGTACAGCTGGCTTCAGGGTCAGAGTGTGTCCTCAGGGCTGTATTTCTGGTTTGAGATCATGCTTGCTTCTGCTGGGCCTCACGTTTGGGCCTTTTCCTCCAGCAACAGTCTGGCCTCCAGCAGTTACCAGCTTCGCAACCCCAAGCAAAAGAACAAGCCATTCTTGACAGGTCTTGCTGAATGCCACAGGATTTCTCTGACTAACCAGGACTGGGTCACATACCTAGGCTGACTGGGAGGTGGGGTCAGTCCACTTCAAAACAAGGGACTCAAGACATTGTGAGAAAGGAGATTGGGCATGGATAGACACCTACTAAGCGGATAAAAACAGCTCCCTCACAATTACCTAGGTGTGTTTTGTTTTGCTTTTACACAAATGAGATCATGCTGTTTATATTCTTTTTTCCACTCCACAATAAGTCCTGGATATCTTTCCATGTCAGTATATTTAACTCTCCTATTTCCATAGCCCTTTGGAGTCGGCTGTGTTTTGGATTTGGTTTGAATGTAGTCCTCAAGAGTTGATGTGTTAGGAACTTTGTTCTCAGCATGATGATATTGAGGGTTGTGAGACCTATAAGAGTTGAGGGGTAGTAGGAGGTCCTTAGATCATTGGGGGAACTGCTCTGAGTTCTCATGGGCCCTTTGAATCAGTTCTTTCAAGAAGGTTATTACAAAAGAACAAGTCTGGCCGTTCCCGAGCCTCTTTGGTTTCCTGTCTGGCCATGTGATCTCTTCTGTCATGTTCGTGTCCCCACCATTGTTGTGCTATCAGCAATGAGGTCCTCACCAGAGTTGAGTTGTTGCTGGCACCAGGCCCCRCAACCTACAGAACTGTGGACTAAATAAACCTCTTTTCTAGTAAAGTTCTCTAGCCTCAGGCATTTCATTATARTAACAGAAAATAGATCAATACAGAACCCTTTGGTTAAAGCTGCCATTAGGTCTTTGGGGGATATGGTGTCAGCATTAAATTATCAATGTATTCTCAGGATAGAATGCCTCAAAACCCTTTACCACAAATATTTTAAAGAAAAATGCCTACATAAGAAATAATTCCCATTGTCAGTCAATGATTTTTATAGTTAGAATCTATAAAGAAATGTTCTAGACAATCAAAACATTTGGACAGCCACAAACAGGATTAGGTGTCATTTAACTTAAGACTATCCATAGTCATTTCTTTCCAACTTGTCCTCCTACTATTTTTTTCTATACATTATAACCATGTGATATTTACTTTCATGTGATAAATATGGAAGGGGATTGAGGATACAAAAGTTCTATTAAAGAAATTTTTTTATCAAAAAGGCTGTAGAGTCATAATTTCATTTTGTAACAAGAGCTTATAGGTAGAAAGCAGAGGAAAAAACCAGGACAGAAACTGATCCTGGTATGAATTTACTCTAGTTTTAGAAATCCTGAATTAAGTTTCCACTGTTAGAACCCATCTCTGTTGACTCTTGGGAATAAATGCAATAGAGTGAGAAAAGTTTTCACTTACCTAGGAAGAGAATTCTGATGCTAATCAGATAACAAAATACCCTGGAGTTAATGGTTCCCCCACTCCCTATTTTGCTTACAACATGTTAAACTACTCCCTAAACTACACTTTAGTTTAAATAAAGCCTTTATGTTTTATCCGGGCTATATTTCTCCAAAGAATCTAAATTAAATTCTAGTATTCAGCCTCTCTTCAACATTTTAATGTATGTGTCTTTCTCATTCATTTTCCAAAATGATAATGCTCTGAGAAGACTCATCTGCATTGATCCAGCTGTGTGTCAGTTCTTGGTGAACACAGAAAGATGAATAAGATATTGTGATATTTCTGCTTTTGAAGAGGAACAAATTCAATAGAAGAGTTAAAGAAAATTAGTAGTACATTTAGAAACTAGATTAGTTTTTCTAAATTCAAGCTTAATTGTTTTGAGGAGATGAGAGAAGAGGAATAGAAAACAGACACGTTTAAGGTTGTTTTAATTAAGGCCAAAAGTGTCCACATGAACGGTGAGGCTTAATAATCAAATCTTAAAAATTGCGATTCCATCTTTTTCCAGGAAAAGTTATGCATTGCTTATAAGGTAAAATGAATGAAGATGAAATTGACTCCAGAAAGTAAGGTGAAGCCAAAGACAGAGTCAGAGCTCAAATTTCCTGATAGCAATTAATTTGTGAGGGAATACATTTGTCTCTCAACTTAGTGGTCATAGCACAGAGAGAATTCATTCATTCATTTATTCAGAAGAGAATTCTGATGCTAATCAGATAACAAAATACCCTGGAGTTAATGGTTCCCCACTCCCTATTTTGGTTACAACATGTTAAACTACTCCCTACTACACTACACTTTAGTTTAATAAATCCTTTATTTATTGAGCACATATTAAATGCCAAATAGCAGTTAATAGTTTAACACATGACAGATTTATAGTGTCCACAATATAAAAACAGAGATAATTTCTCTGGAAAAATATACCTAGAGGGGCTGGGAATGTGGCTCAGAGGTAGAGTACTTGCCTAGCATGTATGAGGCCCTGGGTTCAATCCCTAGCACCAACAAAACAAACAAACGAACAAAGATATAGTTTGGAAATTTCTCTCATGGATTTTCAGAAATGAGATGGGGTAAATATGCTGTTTAGATTTGGGGGTATCCTCTAAATCAGTGCAATTGATTGATGATGTGACACGTCATAGGCTGTTCCTTCAAGTTCCCCATGCAGGCTGGTGGTGTTGTGCTCGGGCAGGTTTCATTGAAGATGAAGGCGTGAGGAGTAACAACACAGCTTATAGGCTTACAGCTCTCTGGTAACCCAGCTCCATCCAAGAATAAAATCTAGACTGAGTCTTATACAGAAGGCAGGCAGACTTGCAAGCCTGATTACTTTCCTGAGTAGCCAGGCTTGGCAGTTAGAGCGAAGGAGGCTAAATCATACATCAACTCTTTGATCAATTGGCAGTTACCTTTTAATTAAATCAATAATACGATCTTTCCGATGTTTTTTTTTTTCATATCCACCTTGGAGCTGATAGGTGAGATAGGCCCGAGAGTAGAGTGGAGGAGGGGGGATGCTTTCCCCTGGGATGTGGGCGGCATGTCCGCCAGCACTAGGGCGGCAGYGAAAACAGAAACCACAGATAACACTTCACGAGTGACTCTCTAATTACTCCCGTGACCAAGTGTTTAGGCAGATGAATTGACAACAGAATAAACAACAAACCAAAAAAATCTACCAAAGTGGCAAATCTCAGAATAAATTATCAYCATGATTTCATTTTTATCTTCAGTTAATTTTAATAAATGCCTTGGGTGTGACTGGTACTCTTCTAGGGAGTCTTCTGCAAAGTCTATGTGAGTCATTGATTTTCTGAACATATTGTTATGGTTGTTTGGTTTGGACTGGAACCTCTACCTCATAGGCTCTGAGTTACTCAATTAGAAAGACACTTTTTTGTTGCTCTTGTGGGTCCTCAAAAGTATAGACAAGGCCCTTCCTTCAAAGTTCAGAGAGGAGTCTCAAAAGCCAAAGCATTGAAGACTCCGCTAATTCCTTTTATTCCAGAACTGTCATTTCCTACTGAGCTGCCTTGGTGAATCACACCGCTGCTAGCATTGCTGTGCCTAATTATGGCTCTCAAAAGCACAGAGCATAGAAATGGAAAGCAAAACACTCTGAAATTTAGAGGAACAGTGGTTTTTTTCAACCCATTGATTAACCCTGTGCTCTAAGTAAGGCCTGGAATGCTAATTGTTCATGATTTCCACCTTAATGTAAATGATCATTAAGATTACCATGCCTTAAAAAAAAAAAAAAGTTATGGTGCTGTGGATTCATGTGTGCTAAGTAATTCTCAACCTAGTAAAGGAGATTGTAATTTCATTCCTATCTAAGGAGTCTAGAATTCTTGCCATGTAAATTGAAGTCTTTATTGCTGTCCTTAGGGAAACAGATGAAAGTTAAGTAGGTCACTTTCTACTGACAGAACCTTTGACATTTTGGAGAGATTTTTATAAAGGTGTTCTGATGGTGTCCTATGTCCATGACCTGAAAATAGGTAAATCCTATAAAGAAGTTGGCTGTCCTGGAGAGTGTTACATGCACAACGTGTGCTTACACTGACTCAAGTACTATTCGTATTGAGTTACCTGCCAGATTCTAAGCGTTTTAAGAGTGGGAACTGTGTTTTATTTCTTATCCATTACACAGTAACTTTGATTTGCTTAAAGTTGATTTGTTAAACCATGAATTGTGATTATAAGCTCGTTAAGCTCCATCACATTAGGGAGCAGAGGCTGGTTTATTACTTGTATTAATGAGGGTTTTTGTAAGAGTATTCAGGGAAATAAGGAAGACAGAACATAACCAGACCTCAGAACAATCTGGAACGACATTAGGATATTACAGAACTTCGGGCAGTGTCATTATTTGTTTTTGTTCAAACCTTTATCCCCACACCTACACTTGTTACATAGCAAGTATTCAAGTATTAATTTAATAAATGGGTTTCTGATACTTTATTCTACTGTATTGATCTGTTCTCCTTCTCCTAGATTCCCAGCTAGTGGTGTATCTACAGTGCGGCTTCTGTTTAATAAAAGCCTTTGCTGTCTCATGGCTTCTGCTTATTTCCTTCTCTCTCTACCTCTTTCCTTTCTCATGCCTCTACRCTGTGTGCAGATTGTATGTCTCCCCTTCAAATAGAGACGTTTCGATTGGATGGGTGCAGTATGCCTAACAGTCAGGCTTGCGTGATTGTCTTCAGGTCAGGAGCCGAGCCCTGGCCCACTTATCTGTGGTCAACTCACAAGGTCACAGGGTATAAAGTCTGGTCTTGCTCATGAGAAGAATGTGGTCATGGTAGACATGTGGAATGTTATTCTCATAACAATAAAATAGAGTCTGTTATTCAGCTGTGTTCTAGACCAGATTCTAAGACATTAGCCCTGTTCATTGTTGTATTCCCAGAACTTAGCACAAATCTTGGCACTGGAAAAATATTGGCTAAACAGAAGCTGATGAAGGAGGAAATTCTGTGATCTTAGATAGATCAGGGACATAGTAGGAAAGGTTAAAGAGTAAGGGAAATGCACTTGAACAACTCTTATCATATAAACCAATCACARTAAGTGGCAAGCCACAGAGGGACTCTAATCAAAGAAAGCATGCATCTAGGAAGACTCCATTTTACTTTAATTTTGGATTATGTTGGAAAGCAGTGAGTATAATACAGAACTTCTAATTAACAGGTTTTGTCCTTATTGTGGGAGTAGCCCTAAGGCTACAGATTCTGGAGCTTTTCTTTTTCCCATGGGATGTCAGCGTCCTAAAAGTCATTACTGCAATCCTTCAGATGAGGGAATGTTTCCAGGAATGTCATCAGCATAAAGATTTGTTGAAAGGGCTTCTAACCATTGGCATGTTTCAATTGACCTAGAAATTGGAGAAATTTTTTAGATAAGAAAAAATAAAAATAAAAAAAGAAACACCAAAAAAGGCATCTTTCTGGTTAGTGTTTCTTAGTTTCTACCTCTCTGTCTCCACATACTCAACCACCTTATCTTTGATTTAACAGCAGAATTAGAATTAAGAGAGACCATTGCTTGGTCCCATTTTGAAGATTGAGCTGAACTTCGTCATGGCTCCACATTTGGGTCCCACCATTGGATTGGTAGAGTTGTTCCAGGTGTCTGCCCCCCTGCTTTGTACATATGAGGGTCTTGATAAACATTTATGAATTGGAATTGTCAGTGTAAAATAATAAGGTTAATATTACCCCTAAAAGCGGATCACTTTTATGCATGATCTGTTGAAATGTATTAGTGAATTTCTAATTGGTATAGGATCTTAATGTTGATGGTAGTGGTATGGCTTAGCACAATTTAATTTCATTATCATTAAAGGTGACCAGGAAACAGGGAAGACTAACAAATGTTGGCCATCTTATCTCCAGCTGAACAGAGAAAGAAAAGTAAAAGAAATATATCTGGAAAATACCAGGCAGGCAGTTTTCTGTGTAACAGTAAACTCAGGATGCTGTGCTGATTGAAGGTCAACGTCTGAACTGCACACACCTGGGTTAGAACCCCAGCTCTGACACTGTGCAATATAACTTCAGGCAAGATACTTCTCTAAGCCTTAGTGCTTCATCTGGAGGAAAGGAAACCATGGTACCTATTTCATAGGGGAATAGTAGGAACCTCTTGACATAGATTTTTGGCATAAAGTAATTATTATGGTCAGGAGAGTCTTTTGAAATAATTCTTTTCTACAACATGGAATTTTTGTTGTTGTTTAGTAACAAATTCAACAACATAGTTTTTCCCCCTTAAGTAATTCAGTTTTGTATACCAACATTTAGGAAAGWTAAAGATATAGTTTGTATCCTTGTAATATGCAAACTGACCACACTCAAACTCACAGGTACTATTTTTCTACCCTGAGAAGAAGAATGTCTTTAAGTCCAAGCTCTTTTCTGCTGAATAGTCTGAAATTCAGTGAGGCATTTCTAGGTAGGACATTCCTCAGGACATACATAGAAAAAACTCTCTTCACAGCAGGATTTCTGGTAACATGACTCTTTTTTAACTTTGCCAGCATGATTAATCGAACTGATAGACGTATTCTCTGATGTTTTTCTTTGTGGTTATAGGTGAGACAGGCATTGGCAAATCCACATTAATGGATACTTTATTCAACACCAAATTTGAAAGTGACCCAGCTACACACAACGAACCAGGTGTCCGGTTAAAAGCCAGAAGTTATGAGCTTCAGGAAAGCAATGTACGGCTGAAGCTAACCATTGTTGACACCGTGGGATTTGGAGACCAGATAAATAAAGATGACAGGTGCGTCTTGGGATTTTGTGGGGGATGTAACTGGATGTGGAAGATAGTAGATTCCATTCCAGGTAACTTCAAAGGTGAATTATTTTTGGTGTTCTCTTAGTTGTGGGGCTCCATCCTCTGACACCTGAAAGATAGGACATTCTTGTCCTCAGAGAAATTTTCTGAGAATATTCTTCCTTGAGGTCAGAACCAGACAACAAATTGATTCTAGGTGGTCTAAGCAGAAAGAGAAGCCTGTTAGAGGAGTAAGGTGGCTTATGTCATTTTTCCAGAAAAGTTTTTGCCAGGTTTTGGGTTTTCCTCATGCAGAAAAGCAATCTATATCCCAGGCACTGCATAGAGAGTGTTTGCAGAAAGCCTACCATCAGTCACCTTAAACTAGCTGGGACCCATGGCACTGGAGGGGAGGATCCTAGAACCTCTACTACATCTGTCCCAGATAACTAAGGGCCTTCACCCCTGCTTCTCCCCTAGTGACGCCTTCAGCTGTGTTGCTCACTTTCTGCTTCCAGATCTTGGGTGGCTGCATCCATTTGGCAGAGACGAAGCCACATCCAGAATACTAGCTGCAAGAGAGTCTAGAAAATGAGGTTTTCAGGGTTTTTTTAGATATGCAAAATAAGAAAATATTAAAAAGTAGGAGGTTTGAAATAAATATCTGCTATGCTCTTCTAGTCCCTGAGGCAGAATGAGATATTTGACTTAATCTGCAAATTTTTACTGATTTGGATGAAAACTGAGAGTCATTGTGATTCTGCATAAGAAACCACAGCCCAGGATTTAGGAGACTGTATCGTGGTGGGTTTTTGACTGGTGACAAGCCATGGACCTTAGGAATGTATCTAGCTTTGAGGGATTACCCTAGGTGTTTGCCACTCTGACACTTCATACAGTCCTCTTCTCACATGGAGGCCTGAGGAAGGACATTGTGAAAGGTTAGGTCTTGATGAGGAATATTGTTATATTAAGGTTGTAATTCTGTACTTTGATGGCTTTTGTGATATTACCTCTAAAAGTGATATTACTCCTAAAACTCCATAGTGAAGAAAGCACTGTTATGCATGATCTGTTGAAATGTATTAGTGAATTTCTGATTGGTATAGGATCTTAATGTTGATGATAGTGGTATGGCTTGAGGCTCTTCTGGAGAGGGAAGCCGCTCTGTTAGGCAGAGCTTTGCAGTCAGAATTGCCAAATGGAGTCTGAAGAGCAGTTGGGGTTTTGGTGAAGACTAATGAGGATTCCAGTCAATTGAATAAAATTTCCCCTCCTAAGCAGAGATAATTGAGTAATTGATGCTACAGAATTCTGTGCATCTGTGGAAAAAACACTTGTTGAACCTACTTAAGAAATTAGATATATATTTAATACATACATATTTTTTATTTTTGGTACCAGGGATTAAACCTAGGAGCCCTTAATCACTGAATCACATCCCCAACCCTTTTTTACTTGGGAACAGGGTCTCCCTAAGTTTCTTAGGGCTATGCTAAGTTGCTAAGGCTGACTTTGAACTTGTGAACCTTCTGCCTCATCTTCCCAAGTCTCTGAGATTATAAGCATATGCTATTATGCCTGGTTAAGAAATAAAAATATTTTAGGGGCTGAAGCTGTAGCTCAGTTGTAGAGTGCTTGCCTAGCATGTGTGAGTCATTGGGTTTGATCCTCAGCACCACATATAAATAAATAAAATAAAGGTATTGTGTCCATCTACAACTAGAGATATTTTTTAAAAAAATAAATAAAAAAGAAAGAAAGAAAGAAAATTATTTTTAAAGCATTTTGGTTCAGTAGTTTGTGTATAGATGGAGGCTCCTAGCTGCCAGTCAAGCTTTGTGTATCAGTCATTAAAACTGGTATGGTTCTTCACATAAGCTTGAAGATATAATTAGAAAATAATATATAGTGAGTTTTTATTTTATAAAATACATATAGCCCATTTACAAGGRCATATAAGTTTGGGTTTTCACTGTGAGCTGCTGTTTGCGCTTGCTTAAGGGAAGCTGTTACTTCTTAACCTTCCAWTGCACAACCCACATGTTAATTCTACTTCCAAGATCTAGCTCACTGTCCTTCCCAACACCAGTCCTGTTCTTTAGTCTCAACTTCAGATAGCTTGACTGTTTGAAAATGTAAATTCATTCTCAAAAGAGATTTAAGAAACTATCCAGCCCAAAGATATTTCTAGAATGAGACTTCCAGAGACATTTTTGGGCAGTGACATTATGAGAATGTCTCACCCCTTAAAGACACCAGTGTGTAAAAGTAAGTTGTATATTTGTTTAAGGCTTCATTAATATCAGAGTTTTCGTCTTTTTAACTTTTCCTCAAAATTGTGTTTCCTCAAAACACAATAAACATGTGTTTTGTAAAGAGGAACTTGAATTATTTTTGTGTAAGAATGTGTATTGTCTAGATATATTTTAACAATTCYTGATTTAAGTAGAAGCAGAGCATCTCAATAATCAGAGAGAAACATTTAATTCATTCTTGGAGCACCGAGCTCTTTATCTATAGAGCACTTGAAATGCTCTCCAATAGACCTTGTCCTGTGTCTATTGTTAGATAGGAAGATTTTATTTTGCATCTGGTCAGAATGGACTCTCYGTACATTGTGTTGGGGCAGGGACAGCTAAGCTCTGACTCTGCAGCTGAGCAGTTGCTCCTTGCTTGAGACCTCAATGCCAAGTCATGAAGAAGAGGTTCCTGCCCGAAGGCTGGTTTTAATGCCCAGTGAAATAAATGAAGAGAAAACCCTGGCATCAAGGAAAAGAGAGAGAGAGAGAGGGAGAGAGAGAGAGAGAGAGAAAAAACGAACACAGTGCACAGTGCTTTGTGGGAGCTGGGGAGAATGCCAGGGGCTTCTGGTCATTGTATGGTCACAGAGCACACCAGAGCCAGGCCTGTTCCTTAGCTCTCAGGCTGGACAGATTCTCCCTGGGGTTAGGGAACATCATGCTTTTATATTGGACTTTTTCAGGATTCCCACTTGAGTAAGAATCATTCTCCACCCAGCATCTTGCTACCAAGATTCCATGTGCATTTTCAGCTTAAGAGTCACTGCCTCAGTGCCTCCCCCGAATGAGGACCTCCCCTCTGGCTGGTGGTTATCACTCACCAGTCCTGAACAGCAAATAGTTGAAGTTAGTGCAACATGGAGCCTCATATTTGCAGCTGGAGTCCTCTTTAAGAACTGATCTGACTCATTTGGGTCAAATAATAGTTACCAAGGAGATTTAGAAGAGAGGAAGTGTGATATTAACCTAACCTAGATACCAAATATTTTTTTTCCCTCTGAAATTTCTTGACAGCTGTTGCATAACTTCTTTGAATGGCATTTGAAATTCCCCATTCCCTTGTGCCTCAGAAGGCATTGTTGACACTGTTGACTATAAACCCAAATCACTTGTTTAAAAATAGTTATTCGGACAAGCTCTGCTTGGAAGAAAATTGGAAGTAGAATATGCATTTTTGCATCTGTATGTAACCACATGGGAAAGGATGTGTACCTTCTGTAACCCATGATTATTTTTACCTACTTCAGGGATTAGGCAAGGTTTATTTTTTTTGCCATAGATGCAAGACTTTAAGAATGTCCCAGTTTGTTTACATAGGCTTGGGACATGTAGCATTCCTGCATCATTATCTCCTTTGACCAGGCTAGCTAGAAGGAGGCAGGAAGAGAGATCTGGTAAGGTTTCCTGTTATGTTTAACTCCTTGTTGTTTAAGGGTTTCCTTGCTTTGACTGTCTGTATTCTTCGGTGAAAAAGGAAGGGGTCTGGAGACGAAAGAAAACTATATTTTGCTGTCCAACTGGAAATAGAATAGTTAGTTTGTCCCACATTTGAGAGATGGGAGGTGGACTTTCCATAGGGTATCACAAATTGTGATAATAGTCCTGAAAAGCCTGAATAACCAAAACCCGTTGAGATGTTTATTAGAGTTATAAAATAGAAGTGATATGGGCTGCTTAGCTGTTAAATTCTAAGTTTTTAATGTTTTCTGGTAGAGGTAGTGCAGGGGTAAGAAAAGTTGTTTTGGGCTAACAGCAAGATAAGAGAAAAACTTGGTAAGTTTGCCATTGTGTTAGAATGATCAGTGGGTAGGTTGGATGGATAGAAAAGTATATTAAATAACTTCTTCCATTACTTTTAGGGTCACCCTTTGTGATTTTATTGCTTTTTTTTTCCCCTTAATGTCTGGAAGCATATGAAGAAAATGAGTAGTGGGTTACAAGGAGTACACTCATGTCGTAAAAGGGGATTATGTAAAAATGCACACTAGTTTGATTTGATCTCCTCCGTCTCCTCAGCTCGGTATGGTTAGAATCAAGAAGTTTGAATTGGCCACACAGAATATAAGTAGGTGTCCTTTCTGTGTGAATGGAAGATAGAAAAAGGCCAGCTGGGATTAAGCTTCTTGGTCTTTCTGACCATGAATGCAGATAGAAAAAAGAAAGGAAGTGATTGAAGGAAGGGGCAGAAAATTTGTATTATGACAAGGAGTACAAATCACTTGGCGGGCTTATTTCTTGTCAAGAGGAAACTTTTGTAAACATAATTAAATAGTTGACGTAGGGAATAGTGGTTTTGGTAAATAGTGGTTATTTGTTTATGATACAGAAGGTAAAACAGAAGGGATTTCATGCTTGACTAGGCACGTGAGATAAGAGAGGTCTCCAGGTTGAATCCCAGGTCTCTGATGGGACAGTGGTGTGGATGCTCTTGTCATTCACCACCTTGAGGGTTGGGGGTGCAGGATTGAACAGTTTGGTTTGAAGAGCTGTTGGAAGTATCTGATAAACAATTGGGTAAGTGATCTGAAGCTCACTGAGGTAGACATTTGTGACTTGTCATTAGATAAATGCAAAGTGAGACACAGGAAAAAGCATGATTTTTCAGGAAGATCACAGAGAGTGGAGGGAGGGAGATTGAAAGACTAGCAGGAGTGGTTAATGGGGGCAGGCAAGGGAAACCTAAGATGTGAGAGATCAAAAGATGACTTGAATCCAGGTCAGAAAGCATCCTTCACTGAGGAAGATATAATCATTTTATAACAATAAACAAAGATACACCAAATAAAGGAGACTGTTTTTTTAAAGCACCCCCACCACAAAAGAATAAAATAAAATTTAAAAAAAATTCAGTGTTATTATGCCTTCCAGGGTCTTTTGAGGATAAAAATCAAAACCAGAAGTAAGAAAGCGGAAATGCACTTAGGCTAGTATTGAGAGGAGACAAGGACAGTTTAAATTCAGAAACTAGGGAGGCAAGAAGAATAAATGTGGTGAGCTGTTTTTTTTCTCCCTTTGGGCTAAGAGGGTGCTGGGGAGAACCCTCATCTATCTCTAAACACTGCTCCAGTGTCAGGAAACGAAAGCACCAGCCTGCAGACATGGGTGGACCTCCTTTGAATGGCCTGGTCCACTTCCCCAGAGGTATGAGCTCAGTAGCAGAACAGTCACCAGGGAACTGGGTGGGTACAAATTTCCTGGTTTGGTTTTTTTGTTTTAATTCAGGACATTTTAATTTATTGTACTTTTATGTGCTGGTCCTTTATATTAGCTCATTTATTTTTCAGAATAGCTCTCTGGTAAAGGTACTGTTTTGTCCCTGATTTATCTCTGAGGAGAGTGAGGCAAGGGGAGGTTTAGTGGCCTGCTAATGGCCACACAGCTAGGGACTATGAAGACAGATTTTGGGCTTAGGCAGTCTGACTTGAATCCATCTTTCTAGCCACCATCCTATATAACTATCCCATAATAATAATTATGATTATTGCTATGTAGTACGAGCCTGCATTTTAAAATTGAAAAATAGGGAATAATCTAATTACTCACTTATCCTTTCTATTAGAATTTCACTTTTTATGACTCAGGGCTTTTAAGTTACAGTTACATATTTTACCTTTTTTTTTAAAATATCTAAAGACTCTAAGTGCTTAAATTGAACCAGTATATTATGATAAAATCACCAAAGAAAAATATCACCACAAGGTATTTATTGACTGCTTTTAGTCTTGATCATAAATGCATTATTATTTACTTCAGGGGATTTTTTTTTTCCTTTAGAATGTCTGCTGTCATGTTTATTATGAAATATTTGTAGTGCCTATTCAAGGTTTCAGTTTAATTTATGGATCTGGGATCTGTGTGTTGAAAGGTTTTTATTTAAATCATTACCCAGAAAGGCACTAAGTTTGGGGTGGATTAACCCTTTGTCTTCCTAATAGATCTGTCTCTGCTGCTAAAATGAACTTCTGAGCTGCTCCCCTTTGGAGACTGAAAGAGTTCATGGGTTTCCCATGGTGACCTAACATAAGACTTACTCCCTGCAGAAGATGGGATTTATTGATGATGTAGACCCAAAATGCTTTTAACAGTGTGTTGATGGTCAGTTAATAGAGTCATACACAATTATCCAAAACAGAGTTGAACTATGTTTTGGTGAAGAGAAGAGAGAGTTACAAAGTTTACCAATAAATCTTGAAGATGTTGGTAACATAAGCTCTTCAATTTCTAGATGGAGTTGGGGAGTGTGTATAGGGTTTAAGGGAGCACAGACAGGCACCTCATCTTGTCTCTGGAGGAATGGCTGGAGGAAAGGCCCCCATGGGTGGTGATGCCATATCCCAAAGTCATAAACCAGTTTCATTTTGTGCACCAGGGCCAATCACTTGTTAAAGTCTTTCAGAAACACTTTTTTGAGATGGATTTCAAAGCTAGTTTTGGCCCAGCAGGAAAGAATGCTAAAWCCTCTTATTAATATCTTCTCTGGGCACCTGGGGGGTGGGCAAAGGGCAGGGAACAGGTAGCATGTTCCATGTATGTATAGTCTCTGTTTTAAAGAATGAGTGTTAGCCCAGAGAATATTAGAAAGAAGACTGTTAGAGCTACAGGGGCCAGCATGACAGAGGGCCAGAGGCAAATGAAGATGTACTGTACAAGGGCCACTACAGGTCGTCGCTGTGTATTGCCAGGGAAGGAGTGGGGGAGAGATGGATGATTCTGGAGAGTTTTTCAGGGGCCAAGTGACAGAAGACCTTGGATACCAAGGYAAGGAACTTGGACTCCAGCTTTTAGGAGGAAGCCACTGATGATGTTTCTGTGAAAGAGGTTTGAGACTGGAAACATGCAGATTTAAAAGTATTTTCAAAATATTCTGTTTTGTAGCTATAAGCCAATAGTGGAATACATCGACGCCCAATTTGAGGCCTATTTGCAAGAGGAACTGAAGATTAAACGTTCTCTCTTCAACTACCACGACACGAGGATTCACGCCTGCCTCTACTTTATCGCCCCCACGGGACATTCACTGAAGTCTCTGGACCTGGTCACCATGAAGAAGCTGGACAGTAAGGTACTGTCTGTCACTCTGATTATATYAATTCTCCTTTTAGAGTACCTTTATTCTAAGGCCTCAATTTATTCTCTGCTTTCACTACAATTTGGTTTTTTGTTTTGTTTTGTTTTCTGGATGTTAGGCCAAAACAAAACAAAACTCACAAAACGTGGCTTGTGGGTTAGGAATAGAGCTCATTGGTAGAGTGCATGCCTCACATGCACGAGGCTCTGGGTTTAATCTCCAAGTGAATAGCCCACAAAACAAAAACAACAACAACAACAACAGCAACAAAACGTGGCTTGTTAGAAAATACATTTAGTTCTTAAGTAGGGATTGAAGTATAAATTCAAGATTCATTTATTTTCTTTAAAACCTTTCTCTAAATCTCTTTTTAAAAGATTTTTAAAGGTTAAATTAACTTCTAAAATGGCCATTTCTTTAATGTTAAATGATTTTTAAAACTTTAATTCAAAGTTTAAAATGAAATAAATGTTAACTTTTTGCCTATTTGAGGCCAGCCTGGCTTTTTAGATTTTTGAACATGGGTGTTCAGAAGAAGTGGAGTCTCCATTCAGCTTGTCCCCTGAGCTTGATGCCTTTGTATCCTCTTTTTCAGAGCCTTCAAAGGAGGTGACTATTAAATTTGATAAAATTTGGTTTCCTGCTTTACAATTAATTTGATTTTCTGTTTTGAAATATATAGAAGAGAACACATTTTGAAACAAAGAAAAGCAAATGGCAACCAGAACAACCGTAAATCTAAGTCATGGTATTTTCTCCTAGAAAAATACTTTCTTGCATTTGATGGAAATTCTTTTTTTTTTTTTTTTAATATTTTTTAGTTGTCAGTGGACCTTTAGTTTATGTATTTATATGTGGTGCTGAGGACCAATCGCAGTGCCTCACACATGCTAGGCAAGCGCTGTACCACTGAGCCACCACCCCAGCCCTCAGATGGAAATTCTTATCAGGTGATAAGGACCGTAGAGGGCTTGGTTGGTGTGTTTTTTTTTTTTTTTTTTTGGTCCAAACAACACTCTTTAAAAGATGCTTATTCTCTAGGGGGATAAAATAGTTAGAGGCCAAACTAGAGATCAGCCTGTCCMCAAGGTTTCTTCTGGAACAGCCCACAAAGGGCTTGGCTGGAGAGGCTGAAGCCGAGCCAGGCTCCTTGGGCTTCCAGCACACACAGACACAGTGTTTTACAGAAAAATATTCCGATGGCCTGAAGGGATTACTGCAGTGAGAGCACTCTTGGGAGAATAAATAGAAACCCTTCTTCAGCCCATTGGGTTTGCTGCACTTGAGCTGAGTGTCTGGGAGCTGTGCCGTTACCCGGATGGGACTCTGCACAGGCCAGGCTGCTCTCTCTGCTGTCAGATCTTTGAAAGTGAGGCAGGTCCCCCATCATCAGGAGCCCCCCATGCTCCACGGACAGTCCAAAGGAAGCAGAGTGAGGTGGCCTCTTACCTGAGGGCCATGCATGTAGACCAAGCCAGGTTAATAGCCCACAAAATGAAATTGTGTTTAGCAGAGGTGATTTTCATATGAAAAGGGGGTGTGGCACGCAAAACAAGCTGATCCAGCACAAGGCAACCAAACACCTCAATCACCGTGCAAGTCAAACTTTCAAGGATTGAATTGTTATTAGAGTTGGAGAGCTGTGTAGCATCTGAAAATGATATTATCCACGTTTTGTTTACACAAGTGAAGGGAAGAATTAAGAAAACATGATCATTTCAGAAAAGATTCTCAAACTCCTGCCAATGAGAGAAAAGAGATCTTAAAACTAAATTGCTTGGTGTCTCTATCTACTTGATCAGTTTGGTCAAGGAAACACAAACCTCTGTCATCTTGTCCACTTTGGTATTAATGGAGTACCAAGTGTGGATGCAAGATAGCCAGTGAACACAGGAGGGAAGGTTTTGGTTCCCTGGTTGTGATCCAGACACATCCCCTGCCATGAGTGATGATTTCCAGTCTATACTTCGCTTGAAGGAATCCCAAGTGCTAGGGACTTAGGAGTGTGTTGTAGAATAGGTTGAAGAAAAGGACTTTCTACCAAGCACGTCTTCTGATTTGGCCTGTGGGAGATAAAAGGAGAAGCAAAAGTGCAGATGTGACCTGAAACCTCTCCTTCAGTGTTCTTGGGCTGGGTGAAGAGCAGAGCTCTAAATATCAGATGTCAGTAGCATCTTATTGAAACCTCCATACAGGAAGAAGAAAGTTAATCTTAAAATGTGGATTTAAAAAATGTGTCCTGTGGACAGGGCTGGGGGATGGTAGGAAAAAAATGGCCCACCTTGGGTTTAAAGCTTATACTCTAGGGTGTCCTTGGCCCTCGTTCTGGGCTGTCTGCCATTAATGTCAAACTCCAAGTTCTCCCCTGTTATTCATAACTGAGGAGACTCAGAAATTGAGCCATGTTTTTGGCACTGGGTCTACTTCTGGCATGAAGGAGAAATATGATAGAAGCTGATTTTCAAAAGAATCAGCTAGYGTGAGTTTGAAAAATTTTAAAGTAAGTAAAAATATTCTTGCTCTAATACTTAGGTTCCCCTCACCTAGCAATTTTCAGGGTATCAGAACAAAGAAAGGATTTTAGCCTGCATGGGGCTGACATTCTGCTGCTCTAACAGAAACTTTGTGATCACACTGTCAGAGCATGCAGAAGTCAAGCACCTAAAGAAAGTGGGAGGGGTCCAGTAGGAGTGGTTGGTTATTCAAAGAATAGCTCCTTTGTTACCGCTGTTTGTCATGGAGTAATAACATTTCCTCTCCCTCTGTTTTTAAAAAAAAAAAAAAAGGATGAGGTAGCACAGGAGAGGAAATTACAAGTATGATTTCTGTGTAGGATGGAAGGAAGTCTAAGTGTTCTGAGATGGAACTAAWAGATTATCCCAGGTCTTCTTAATTTTGCATCTAGGTAAATAGTCCAATTTTCAGCGTCATATATGTTTTTTACAGTGAGGTTTTACAATATTTATTTATTTGTTTTACACCCATGTCTATTTCTCTTATGTTGAAGTTGTGTAAAAATGGACATGTTTGTTTTACAGGTGAACATTATTCCAATAATTGCAAAAGCAGACACGATTGCCAAGAATGAACTGCACAAATTTAAAAGTAAGATCATGAGTGAACTAGTCAGCAATGGCGTCCAGATATATCAGTTCCCTACAGATGAAGAAACGGTGGCAGAGATTAATGCAACGATGAGTGTAAGACCTCAAATAAAATGGGTACAAATGACTCTCCTGGAAGATTTTCTTTGTAGAAGCATTGCAGAGTGGCTAGAACCTGCACTGGGGACCTGAGACTCCATTTGGAGTCCAGATCTACCACTGCAAGTCTTTTAACCAGCCTGAGCCTTAGTTTCCCCACCTATTAAGTGGGAGAGTTAAGCAGGATGATCTCAGATTTCCTTCTTACTYGAATGGTTACTGATTTCCAAGACAAATCTCAGCTCAGGTGGAGATGCCATGTGTGCATTCTTCTATAGAACYGCAATATGGGATCTTAGTGTAGGGTTCAGTGTAGGGTTCAGTAAGCATGAATAAAATCATCTACTTTCTCTTTATATCTCTCTCCATCATTTTTTTTAAAGCCTTAATGGTAATTGAACCCAGGTTCTCATTCATGCCACCAAGCCTTTTTTTTTTTTAATTTGCTCTAATCAGTTATACATGACAGCAGAATACATTTCGATTCACTGTACACAAACGGAGCACAATTTTTCATTTCTGTGGTTGTACATGAAGTAGATCAYACCATTAGTGTAATCATACATATACTTAAAGTAATGATGTTTGTCTCATTCCTCTATCTTTCCTACCCCCATGCCCTGTCCCCTTCCCTCTGTCCCCTGTGCCCATTCATCCCATGCCCTTCCTCCCCTTATGGATCAGCATTCACTTATCAGAGAAAACATTTGGCCTTTGGTTTGGGGGATTGGATTACTTAGCATGATATTCTCCAACTCCATCCATTTACCTGCAAATGCCATAATTTTATTCTCTTTTAATGCTGAGTAATATTCCATTGTGTGTGTGTGTGTGTGTGTGTGTGTGTGTGTGCGCGCGCGCGAGTGCGCACACATACATATCACATTTTGTTTATCCATTCATCTTTTGAAGGGCGTCTAGGTTGGTTTCACAGTTTAGCTATTGTGAATTATACTGTACATTGATGTGGCTGCATCATTGTAGTATGCTGTTTTTAAGTCCTTTGAGTATAGACCAAGGAGTGGGATAGCGGGGTCAAATAGTGATTCCATTCCAAGTTTTCTAAGGAATCTCCATACTGCTTTCCAGATTGGTTGCACCAATTTGCAGTCCTACCAGCAATATATGTGTGTGCCTTTTCCCCCACATCCTTGCCAACACTTATTATTACTTGTATTCTTGATAACTGCCATTCTGACTGGAGTGGGATGAAACTTTAGAGTAGTTTTGATTTGCATTTCTCTAATTGCTAGAGATGTTGAACATTTTTTTCATACATTTGTTGATCAATTGTCTTTTTCTGAGAAGTTAGGCAAGCACTCTTAATACTGAGCCACCTCTCCATCCCCCCACCTCAATCCTTTTAAATAATGTTTCATGGTTATAAAATTAAGTTTGCATTGAACTTCCTAGAAAGAAAATATCCACAAACTTTTACTCTCTTTCTCTCTTTGTCTAATTAGTAAGACTGAAGATCTTTGACATTCCAAATTAATCCTGCTGTTTATCAAAAAATTTTCTTTTAGGCTTTTCATGCAAACAGTTCATATGAAACAGAATCATATGATTCCATATGATGTGTATGTAGCTGAGTAACACAGATTCCCCTGGTGGTTGCTTTTGATGCATTGAATGGAAATGTTTCCTTGGTCATCGGACCAGAATTGTTAGCTAGAAAGACCTTTGAGTTCCTCAGCTTCAGGGACCATGGTTCAGTTTCAGACTTTGAGTGTGAGAAGGAAAATGTGCTTTCCTTCCTCCCTTCAGAGTGGTGAGATTAACTAGGAAATTTAAATAATCTTGTATCTTCCACAAAGTCCCACTTGAGAAACTTGAGGTGAGGATTCTGCCAAGCTCTCCATGGAAAAGGATTTGACTTGAAAACATTCTCCTTCTCAATGGATTTGTAGGAGAAGGATATTGGGTTGTAATTCTAAGAGCAACTCTATCAAATCTCTTTATTCTTGTATGCTAATAGAAAAACAGAATTAGTTTTCTCCCTACCCCCAGAGTGTAGCCATAACTACCAAATAAACCATTAGAAAAGAGTCGGTTGTCTTGGACACCACCTATGCTTGAGATAAATCTGAGTGGAAGGCTTGATTCAGTATTTTGGGCTAACGTGTAGGCTTGATTCAGTATTTTGGGCTAACGTGTGTTTCTGACTTGAAATTTGTGCAGTGATCAGCTATCTAAATAGTTCTGTTCAATAGAAATACAATGTGAGCTACACAAGTAATTTAAATTTTTCTAGTAGTTACATTAAAAAAATGAAGCATGAATTAATTTAAAAAATTTACTTAATCCTAATCCAGTATATCCAGAATATTATTGTTTCTTTATGTAATGAATTAAAAAGTTATTAACATGATCCTTTAATAGCAAGTCTTTGAAGTTTTATAATGTTAGTACATCTCAATTTGTATTTTCATTTTTTATTAACAATGCTTAATCTGTATTTACAATTCATTAAATTTATAGGTAAGATGGGCCTGGTGGTACATGCTTGTAATCCAAGCAATTCAGGAGGCTGAGGCAGGAGGATCACATGTTCAGTGCTAGCCTGGGGCAACTTAATGAGACCCTGTCTCAAAATAAAAAAAATAAAAAGTACTAGGATGTAGCTCAGAGATAAAGCACTTCTGGGTTCAATAACTAGTGTTAAAAAAAAAAAAAGAAAGAAAATTTATAGTTAAAAAGCAGATTCACATGCTTAGATTACTCCTAACATACTTCTATGTGAAATAAGTATCAATCCCGCCTCCCAGACAAATGAACAAACAAAAAGCCCTTTCCCTTTAAATTTGTACTTACCTTGCCAAAACTGGTCTTTTTTTTTTTTTTTTTTTTTGAAGCGTAGTAAAATGCTGTCCTTACAAACAACAAAGTTATGTTGAACAGGAAAACATTCTATACTGCTTTCATTTGGAATTTACATGTATATTAATTAAAAGCAAATAAARTTAAAAAGTGAAGTTTTGAGTTCCACAAACTATACTTCACCTGCTCTGTGGTCACAGGTCGTGAGTGACGGCTGTGTTGGATGGGGCACATCTAGAGCTTACTGTATGGATGCTACTGCTTCTGCAGTTTTCCCTGCAATCTAGCTCCTAACAAGTATTTGGCTATAGGGTGTAGGATACATGAGCTAGAGAATCTTCTATGTGTTCTTCTGGCCCACCTTGTGTCTTGCCATGAAATAGAGATTCTGCAGAAGGAGGAGCTTGCAGAGGTRGGTGGAGAAACAGACTCTGTTGGAGCTGTGGAAGATAACCACACTCCTCTTCTGTTGCTTGGCAGGTCCACCTCCCGTTCGCAGTGGTTGGCAGCACCGAAGAGGTGAAGATTGGCAACAAGATGGCAAAGGCCAGGCAGTACCCCTGGGGCGTGGTGCAGGGTATGTCCATCACGGGAAGGGGACTCTAAAGTCAGTGTCTGGGGTGAATGACCACAATTCTTCCCTCCCTGTGTTGGAAAGTGTAAAACAGGGGCAGGTGGGAGTACGTGGTGTGGTGTCATTCCTGGCTGTTATCAAGGTGAGAAAGACCCATGCAGGTAGACAGACAGTAGAGAGAAGCAGCTGCCAAGCCCTAGTGGCAATAAGGTGACTCCTCTTACTAGCTTTCACTGGTTGTGTAGGAAATTCAGCATAAATTCCTAGAAAATAAAAATTTCCCCAGGAGCCTGAACCAGTTGCATCAGCAAAGTATCAGAAAGTACGAAAAAACAATTTCATGCAAACAAGAGGATGACTTGCTCAGTCATCTCTGGGAAAGTTGTCTTCCAATTAAGTGTTATTTCAATAAATATTTGGTAATTGGGAATAATGGTGGTATTTAAAAACTGCCTGGTACAGTTCCTGATGGCATGGAATGATAGAAACAGGCCTGGCTTTGGACCAGATGATATGGTGTTTGAGTCTAGACTCTGCTACCTCTTTTTGGGAGGTCAGCTTGCTTATCAAAGCCAGGCTTCTTTATCTGCAAAGCAAAAATCACAAAGTTTATTGGTCGAATGATTGTGAAGGATAAAGTCAAAATCTGTAAAGCTCCTCTCTGAGTTTTTGCACAGAATAGTCACCCGGCAGTTAGCCTTACCACCATTAGTGTTAGTTTCAGTGCTATCTGAAATCCTTTCTGATGGCTGTAAAACCCCTTTAGTTGGTTTTGAGATTTCAGAGAGTTCAGAGTGATGGTAGCAACATCTTGGAAGCATCTAAGATTTTCTGTGATGTTGCTAATAGCCCTTTCTCCTACTTTCCCCCATCATTTGCAGTTGAGAATGAAAACCATTGTGATTTTGTGAAGCTGCGGGAGATGCTGATTCGCGTGAACATGGAAGACTTGAGAGAACAGACACACACCCGCCATTATGAGTTGTACCGGCGCTGTAAGCTTGAGGAGATGGGATTCAAGGACACTGACCCTGACAGCAAACCCTTCAGGTATGAGGGTACCCAGCTGTTAAGTGTCTATCTGGCAGTGCGTAGCACATTGGTGCATCATAGAAAATGCATGTTGGATTGGGGTGTTGGTGATGGAGTGGCCTGGGGAAGGAGATTCAAGGAACATAAAGCCAGGCACTGTGATAACCACTGTACCACTGTATTTGAATTATTGTAACTAACTAGAGTTGTAGATGATGAAACTCACAGCACTGAAAGAGTGTAAGCAACCTAGCTAATACCCTACAAGTAAGTGAGGTGGGTGGGATTTGAGCTTCACTATGTTACTCCTGAGCCCAGGCTCTTAACTGTTAGGTTTGCAGAGTACAGATCCTGGTCCATACAGTCCCCCCACCCTTTAGTACTGGGGATTGAATCCAGGGGAGTGTTATCACTAACATACCCTTTTTAATTTTATATCCTCAACCCTTTTTAATTTTTTAATTTTGAGATAAGATCTCACTAAATTGCTTATGGTCTTACTAAGTTGCTGCTGCTGGCCTGAAACTTGTGATCCTCCTGACTTGGCCTCCCAATTTGCAGGATTACGGCGTGCGCCACTGTCCCAGCTATTGAGCCACACATTTTTGCCAAATAGGTTTAACTTCTCAAAGCTCTTGGTGTTTTTGAGCGCTCTTACTAGCTTTCAATGGTCCAGTACAGTTCTACCAACAGAGGAGAGTAGGAAAGGGAATAACTTTTAGAAAATGTATATATATTTTCCCACATCATTGATGGGTGGAGATGTAAAGTTTGAAAAGGAGTAATGAATGTAGAATTATTGCCCTAACAAATGTGCAGTTCTTGCTAGAGCCCAGTGGCAGGGAAAGGATTGACAGGGTTGGAGTACTGGTGCCCACCAGGCTTGATGATAGAGGCACAGCTCTGGGTCACCCTGGAAGGTGAGGCTGCCAAGCCAGGTCGCCACCTTCTGGTAGAGGAGAGAATTGTACCCAACCTATTTCTTAGTGGGAATTTGAATTGAAATGATGTGAGGTTTGTCTGTGCTGGCTGCCTCTTCTGATTGAAGGCTGCAATGCCTTGGAAAAAAAAAAACTGTTTTCTTTCTCTTTTGTGGCTAGCCCAGAAATATTTTGATATCCACAGAACCGGAGGCAACCTGTGCTGTCCCCTGGGTCTGAGCTACTTTGGGGAAAGAGAAGAGGTTCATTTTTTTTTTTTTCCTGCAATTCCTTTGGAGGTAATTCAGTAATGCCTCCGCTGGTCCCCTGCTACAGTGCTACTGGGCAGGCCCATGGGCATGTGTGTATTTGGTGAGAATGAAGACCCAAACAAAGGGCTGTTCACCAAGAAGTTAACTTCTAGCTGAATTTGCATCATGTRTTCCGCCCTGGGGCCTTATAAAACTGACTCTCTCCAGCCGTATGAAATGTTACTTTCTTAGTCTAGGGGTAGGAGGCCTTTTTGTCTACACAGGTTTAGGTACCTTGAAATGCATTTACCAAAGAATAGTCCCACAAAATTAGGTTCATTCAATGGTTATTAAACCTGATAAAAAYAGTTTTTGTATAGAAAAGGCTATCTTTAGTATTTCATAGAGCATTTGTGTTCCCGAAATAAAACAAAGGAACTGCCATAAAATTGGATTCATTCAATTTTCTGCCATAAAATTGGATTTCATTCACTGGATTCATTCAAATCCAAGCCGCCCCACCCCTGGTACTAGGAATTGAACCCAGGGCTCCACGCATACTAGGCAAGTGCTCTGCTACTGGGCTACATCCCCCACTTGTTCAGATCCAGCTAGTGCTAAAGAACACTGGGAAAAGTTTCTGGGGTTTGGGTTTAAGTCTTGGCCCTGTTACTACTCACATCCTTAACCCATCCAGGCCTGAGTTTCTTCACTTGAGCCAGATCAGGACAGATTAGATCTAGCACCAGGACTCCTTATAATGGACCACTTCTGCGGGCCACGTGGTCTCATCATAAGTAAGCAATTCTACTCTTGTCAATTGAAAGTGACCACAAGCCATAGTATAAATGGGGATGGCTGTGTTTCAGTAAAGCTTTATTTATAAAAACAGGTGGGAGGGACTCACATTTGGTCCTTGGGCTATAATTTGCGGAAACCTAGACTAGGTCATAACCTGGAGCCTGTGAATTGCTGTAAAAATTAGAATGTGTGACTGAGTTTGTTAGAGGTAATTTGCCTCCCACAGTGTTCGGAACCATTCAGCACAGCTATGTTCTTTTTAATTCTGAAATCTGTGGAATATGAAGAGTCTCTGATACTACCGTTAGCTCTCTACCACCACCAGAAGGGGCCAGGTGACCCAGGGCTCTCAGGTTTCTGGGAACCTGGGGATGCTGGGCATTCCCCCCAGGTGCTAGCTTGCCACCTGCTCTGCTGTCTCTGTCGCTGGCRTTTAAATTAAGGCATCTCCTGCAAGCCCAGAGTAAGTGCCCACCAGGGTAAGTGGAGCTGGGTGGTTCCAGCAGAGTTTCTGCAAGGCTGGGGAGTTGCTGGGCCAACCCATTCCTCTGACCACTCTATAGACAGGGCCTTTAGGATTGGTGAGAGTAGTCATTGAGCTTACCTGACTCATAGAGAACTTGTCTCCCCATTTCCATTTGGTCCCTTTTCTACTGGCCTAAAGTTTCCTTTTTGATGATGAAAAGGGAAAATAAATCATACTTACAAATTTATTACCAAGATCTTTACTCTTTACCCTATATAAGAAAAAAATAAAAGTAGGAAAAAAACAGACCCTCTAAAAATGAATACTTTGTATCCTCTCAATAAACAGGACCCTATTTTCCATTTAAATTGGAAAGCTGCTYACTCAAAGCAGGTCCCTCTCACTACTAGAAAAATCATTTAGAACAAAAAAGTTGGCATTGGTTTATACATGAAGGTAAAGAGCAATGTGARATGAGTTTGATTTCCTTTTCTTGGAAACCACTACTTTAAAAGCACTGAGCCTTTCCCCTAAGGAATCATTATCCTACCTAGCAYTTCCTGAGCACCTGGGACCATTGAGGGAGGAGTGGAGTTAGGTGACCTCATGTGAAGGACGGCAGAATTTAGGAAAAGCAGAAACGACAGTTGATTTCAGGAACTTCCCAGAATTTCAACTTCAAAATCATCACTCCTGGATATTCGTAGGAGATTTTTTTTTTCCCCATATGAATTTAGGATGACTTTGGAGGAATCTAAAAACCTTAATGTTTTTTAATATCCTCAAAGTAGATTCCTATGTGGGTGTTTGCTGAAATTTATCCTTTCCTTTAAGCAGTAGTGTATATCGTGTCTGTAATAGAGAGTGAGCTTTAAGATCAGTTCTAGTAGTGACAGCTGTCACCTGTGTGTGTTACATAGTGTGAGAATGAGGAGCTGGGCTGCCAGTGACGGGAGAATTCAGGCCTCAGAAGCACACCAGAGGCAGTAGAGCTCATGGAGTCTGGCCCTGGGGTTGTCCTTGAACCTGCTTGTGTTTAGAGTGCTGTCTCTGTTGTCTCCTGGCAGAGAGCATAGATATCCAGGCTTCAGCCTACCCTTCCTGTGCCTACTCACCCCGGTGTATGCTCACTGCTGCCCTGTAGCCTTGGAACTCACTTCCACCTAACGAGAGCAGCCATCTCTTCCCTGGACCCAGGGCCCTCTTATTCCAGCTCTCTTTCTGAGTGGCATTTTAGGGTAAATGAGGAGAGAGGACTTTAAGCCGCCACTGGACCTGATTGTGTCTCCTTTGGCTGTTCCCCACTTCTTTTTTTTTTCCTGAGATACCATTGCCCTTTGTACAAAAGTCCCTGCTCAAACTGCTKCTTCCTCCTCACAAAAAGCCCCTTCTTGACTCACCACTAGTCAGGCCACAGAAAGTGCTCATTACCACCACTATGTCAGAGATTAAGACATTCTGGGGTCCCTCTTGCCCCTGTGAGAGTTTTGTTTCTATTTTTTATACTTGAAATATATATATTTTAGTTGTAGATGGACCACAATAACTTTATTTTTATGTGGTGCTGAGGATCGAACCCAGTGCCTCACACATGCTAGGTAAGCGCTCTACCACTGAGCTACAATCCCAGCTTCTGAACTGGAGTTTGATACCTGGAAATATTAGGGTTTCTACAGTCTCTGGGTAATAACAGCTCAACTGGTGGAGGTGCCTAGGGGATAGGACTCTGTGGATATTATAGGTTTTCTAAATTATTTTTAAGTAACTTAATTTTGTTTGGTTCCTTGGGCTAAGGTTTTAGGATTCTTTCTCGTATGTTGCTATGATTTCGTTTCCCATGTCAAAGCTGGTTCACATCGTAGGGTACAGAATAATTAAGTAGTAGCATTTGTTGAGCCCTTTTCCCCTGTGCTGGCCCAGGGAACTACCAGCCTGTGGCTGAGACTAGTCTTGCTGAGAGCAAAGGTGCTCTTAGGCTTTCTCAAGGACAGGGCATTCTAGACAGGAATTTGGAGTATACAAAACATTTTCCATTGTGATCGGGTGTCGACACACCAACTCTTCTGTTTGCACTGCACTCTGTTGCTTTCTGTCCTAGTCTCGATCTTTTTTTATCATGATTGAGATCTATGATTGAAAAAAAAATCTATGATTGGACTGTGATACATAGTTTGAAAATGTATTTCCAGAAACTGGGGCATGGGTTAGGTTGTGGTTGGGACTAGATACAACAGAGTCATYGTGGGAGTTCTCAGTATTTGGGGTAGCATTACTCAAACCACTTCTATCTGTGAGTTCCTTCAGAAAGTTCCTGTGATAAAACATTAAAACAAGTCCACCTGTTTCTTTCACTGGTGGGCTTCTCAAATAAGCAGTGGTTAGCCAGCTGGTTACCTGTGATCTCCCAGGAAGCATTTCAAAACAGATGTTACCTTAGCCAGATGTTCTGAATCCGCATCTCTAGGAGTGGGCTTGGAAATATGAATTTAGAAAAAGTATACTCAGGTGTGCCCGGTGTGCTGCTGTGCTGCCAGGGGGATGCCCTGTGCATTGTGAATCCTTTTAAAGAGAAGCACACACAGCACCTAACTCTCAGTTTTGGAAACCTCATTCAGAGATCCTCTCTTGAAACTAGGTGGTGATCTCTAAAACACCACATGTTGGGTATTATTTCTATGAAAAGGTATTCCATTGTTTGTTAGAAGAGAGATGTGTTCATTATATTAAAATCAACAGAAATTGAGTTTTCTGTAACATTTCATAATAAGGACAAGTCATTCTCTTCCTTTGGCAGTTTTTTTTTTCGTACCAAGAATTGAACCCAGGTGCTTAACCACCAAGYCAATTTTTATATATACACAACCCCAGCCCTTTTAGATATTTTTTTARAGGTAGGTTCTTGCCAAGTTGCTTAGGACTTCACTAAGTTGCTAGCTTTGAACTCGTGATCCTCATGCCTCAGTCTCCGAGCCACTGGGATTACAGGCGTKCACCCCCATGCCTAGCTTCCTTTGGTAGTTCTGACCCACATAACAGTGATGAAGAGTTTATTACAAGCTGACAAAACCAAATTCATGAATTATTTATAGTTTTCTTGCCAACAGAATTCAATCTCTCAGTGACTATAGACCAAATAGTGCTATTAGTATTACCTAACATTAACACTGTCCWACTTGTGTTTGTCTCGTAATATGAAAGCTAAATATATTTATGGAAACTCAAGACTCGTGGTTGTTCACAAGTAGATAGGGCTGGCAGTGTTGGGGACTGGAGAATTTATTTCTCATAAACTAATAAGGGTGATAATTATAGAAGTGTACCATCCTGACTAATAGATTCTAATCCTAACCTAATTGTTCAGTTCATGCCCTGCCCCCCCTTCTTTCCATCTAATGTTTCTGTGGCTATTGTGGGGGCTTTACAGGGACCCTGGGTCCTCCACAGTTTGTATTCAGTTTGTAATTTATCCCTGGGGTGAATAGGTCTATGGGTAAAGGTAGATATAATACAAACATTGTATTGCAGACTCCATACAACYATTGTTCTAGGGAAACTGATGGGATAGGGGCGGGGATGAACACCTTGTAAAATCAGCAGCTATTTATAGTGCACCTGTGGGGTGGGGTGTGTTTTCYTGATTGTGTTACCAAAGGTAGTTTCTCTGTAAATGTAGTTTTCTCTGTAAATGTTCTGACTTAGAGATAAAGCTGCATTATGGCACTCAGTATAAAATATTAGGCTCTCAGTTCTGCAGACAGGAAGAAGATGGGGCTTAAAATGAAAATAAAATCCTTCCTGCACGATTTACATTTGGTGATATAACTTGAAAAGTAGCAGTTTTCTCTTCTACCCTTAGAAGTACTCTTGTCTCTCTAGTATTTTCACTGAGTCTGTTTTTCAGATTGAGGGCTGGAGGGAGATGAGTGGAGGAAGGGGAACATTTATTAAGCACTGATTTATTGTCAAATGCTTTACTCACTTGTCCTGCATCTAATTCTAATAATCGCATCCCAGAAGGTAAGTGCTATTGTATCCACGTCTCACAGTTGCAGAGTTAGAGAGGCTGGTCCTTTCCCAAGGTCAGTCAGTTGGTGGGGCCAAAATTCAAATTTTGCTCTTTCTGACTTCATTCCCTGTTCATTTCACCCCTAYTAGGCCACCTTCATCTTCTAAAACTCAAAATCACATCCTCAGCCCAGGCTATCTCTGTGTGAATGTGTGTGAGATAAAACTTGGCTAGTTAGTGATTTCCCTTAGTGCAGCATTGTGTTTATTGACTCATTTCTGGTTTTCGATGCCCTTGTCTTTTCAATCCCAGTGTAAATAACTTAAAAAAAAAAAAACCCTTTCATTCTATTTGAGCTTTAATATGGTAGGCAGCAGCTTTATCTGTTTTTTGGGAAGTAGATGGATAGAAATGATGTACACTGAAATTTCATAACAATGCAATTTCATAACCCTGCCCTTGGTTTGTGGATTTTGAATAGTCTTCAGGAGACCTATGAAGCAAAAAGGAATGAATTCCTGGGAGAATTGCAGAAGAAAGAAGAAGAGATGAGACAGATGTTTGTTATGAGAGTGAAGGAGAAAGAGGCTGAACTTAAAGAGGCAGAGAAAGAGGTAAGCTGTCTGTCTTCCCGCAACAAACAAAAATCTAGAATTATTTTAATAATATATATATATTTTTTGCATTTTATAGGATTTCATGCCAGTTCAAGTACTTGCCGCACATATTTTATCACAGTAGCATACTAACCTGGCAAGAAGAGTGAGCCAGATATCTTTTTTGTTTTGGTTTGGTTTTGACAGTGAGATAGAACTGARGGATGCTTAACCACTGAGCTACATCCCCAGTCCCTCCCCCGCTTATTTTTCTTTAATATTTTGAAACAGGGTCTTGCTGAATTGCTGAGGCTGGCTTTGAACTTGCAATCCTCCTGCCTCAGCCTCCTCAGCTGCTGGCGTTAGAGATGTGCGCCACCACACCCAGCTAGATAATCTTATCCTCATTTTGCAGATAAAAAACTGGGAACCATATAGGAAGCATGATTTAGATCTTAGGTTTCTAGTCCTGATCATAGGGTCTTTGCAGCTCTGTGTTTCTTCAATTTACAGTTCTTGACCTATGAAAGTCTGGATTCTGGAACTGTTATTATTATCTTAGTCTATCAGATAATTCGGCTAAACAGTGGAGGGCATTCTCTGGTGGGTTGCAGTTTGAAGCAAAACCCATACTCCACGTCTGTGCCCAGGTTTCTCCCTTACCAGCTTGCGCTTCCTAATCTCAGCATCCCTCCAACCTTGGTACCCACCCCCAGGCCAAACTAACTGTGCCCTAAAAGTTCACATGAATTTTGAGCATAACACTCATCCCATTCTGTTAGAGAGAGAGAGAGAGAGAGAGAGAGAGAAAGAGAAAGAGAGATGTCTGCTTTTGCTGGTAGGTAAATGAGTATCTCAAGTGCTTGACCTATAACTCAATGCTTCTCTAAATGAAATCATCTAAGTAACTTTATCTTATTTTAATTTATCTTTAAAAGACTAATAAAACTTAGAGGTCATTTGAATAACTAAGCACTCAAGATGGTTTTGCTGCTGAGAAAGGAATATTGAGCTTTATTTGCTATGGCTTTAAGAACCAAATGGATAATGGGTAAAAATTTAAAATTACCTAGTAAGCATTCCTTCCCTCTCTTCTTCCCTTTCTGCATCCCTCCCTCTCTGTATTTGTTTCTGAATGTGTCTGTGTGTCTGCTGGAAAATGAATCCAGAGCCTCATGCATGCTGGGAGGCACTCTACCACTGAGCTACACCCCCATCCTGTGATTGTGTTTTTTTAAAAAATATGGATATGTGTTTATATCTCTGTAGTCATTGTGTACGTCTCTTAAGTTAACGTGTTTCATACATAGTGAAAAGGAATCAGAAATAAAGAAGCGCTTTTACTACCAGGATGGATTTTTTTTGTTATCTTCTTTTTATCAGAGTTTTTTAAGGAATTTTTAGCCCTAAGGAGCTCAAGTAACAAAGGAGCTTAGGTCTCAGGGATGCTCTGAGCATCTTAGCCTGGCTCCTCCGATAAGCCACCAGGCAGTACTTCACTCCTGCAGTGAAAGCACCGGCAGCCACATGATGCAACTTTTGTTTTTGAGCAGATTCACATGGTCTACATTAGTAAGAGTTTCCTTCCCTTCTCCAAGCATGTCTGCCTCTTTTTCTCTCCAGCTCCACGAGAAGTTTGACCTTCTAAAGCGGACACACCAAGAAGAGAAGAAGAAAGTGGAAGACAAGAAGAAGGAGCTCGAGGACGAGGTGAACAATTTCCAGAAGAAGAAAGCAGCAGCACAGCTACTACAGTCCCAGGCCCAGCAGTCTGGGGCCCAGCAAACCAAGAAAGACAAGGATAAGAAAAAGTAAGCAGGTGCCACCCCATCTACTGGGGACCTCTAACAATTTATTCCTCTTGCATGTCTGCTTTACCCATTGACAGACTGGAATCTGGTCTATTACCAGAAAAATAAAAAGCAAGTATTTTCTCTACAGTGCAGGGAAGATGATAAATGTTTTTAAAAGTATTTTTAAAGGGTACACAAGGATTAATTTATAAAACTTGACCACGTTGATCAAGCAATCAGGATGGACTAACCTGTCATCTCCCATAGCATCGTCTGCACCAACGCTAGGATTCTCAGAGAAGACAGGTTTATTTCTCTTCAGTACCTCTGAAGACAGTTCTCATGATTCTCTTGATAAAGAGCATCTTAAAATCTTGATTGTTCAAATTGTTTTCCCACTCTGTGTTGTAAGGCCTGGCAAGCCAGTCATTGAGAATCATGTTCCCAAACAAAAACAGCAGGAAGAGCTGCTTGTAGCCACTGATTTTCCCCTAAATTCAACAAGGTGGTGAATGATCTTATTGTGAAATGCAGTCAAAATGCCCTTCCCGTTAACATACCCTGCCAACCCTCAAGTCTCACAAAACAGTTTTTAATATTGTMTTGAGTCAATGTGCCAAAGGTTCAGATTCTGCTCTTGAGTTGGTCACTTCTTAGGACGCTCCAGTAGCAGCTGCCTGAACCCAGGGGAGATTTGAGCTTCCTTGAAATTCTGTCACTTGAAACTCTCCTTTGAATCTCGTTAAAGAATTCAGAGTGAGTTTTATGACAATAGCTGCTGGTTATAGTAAATATGGAGATAAGAAGGCCTTTGAAGGAAACCTATGTGGTGGCCCAACGGCAAGCCCACAGATGCCACCCTCTTTTGTCTGTTTAACCTGCCATACTCTTAGGGCAGCTATGAAGCAACTCGGAGCTTGTTTGAGGATTCTTGCTCTTCATCCTTAGATGCCATAGGGTTCTAGGGAAAGAGCAGGCAACTAAGCAAACAACAAAAATATGATACTCAAAAAGGCAAAGATTACATTCTTTAAAAATATAGCACATAGGATTGAGTATCTGTGCAATCCTAATTGAAAGGGAAAAGTGAGCACAGCCATTGTCCCCTTATAGTAAAGATCAAAATGTGCTGCTACTGTGACACATGGAGAGAATATTAAGCTACACTTTGTACACTGACTTGCCAAGTAGCAGGAAATGTGTCAAGGGTAAAGGGGCAGGCATCTTTTCTAAGCAATAACAGAAATAGTTGGTGAGGATGAGGTGTGATTTTAACTGGGGTGGATACAGATGTAAGTGAACAAAGAGGAGTCCAAGGGCCCCAGATTGGTTATCCTGGATTAATTCTGAGAGAATCAGTTGCTCAGATCATAATCCAATTCAAGAGAATGCTTCTTAGCTCTGTGTGTTGGAAGAGGATCTGACACTAGGGTGATGTGGTCCACACACAGATTCAGAGGCTACATGACTCTTCCAGTGAAGACACATGAAAGCCATTTGGCTTTGTACCCTCCATCCAGACTAACCCGAGACAAAAATAGGGTGCACGTGTGTATGGTGTGTGTGTACATGTATGTCTGTAGGTGTGAATGAGAGAAAAAGCTGCTGATTCAGCTTAGAGAACCCAAAGTCTAGGTTTCCTTCCCCCAAACACTAAAGTGCGTCAAGGTACAAGTCTTCAGACTAAAAATGTTTATAGAAGACCAGCAATGTTAAAGAATATTTCATGTATACTGGATGTGCCTTTAAGTAATGGAAATCCCAAGAGCTGATCAATATTGTGCCTCCATTAAAAAAATCTACTTAGTAACCAACTTCCCAGCACAGGGAGGTTTTTTCCTTGTCCCTTTGATATTTTAGCTTATTTTCTTCCCATCTTGGGCCTTACCAATTAAGCTTTTAAAGTTTACATGACATCTGTGTGAATTCTGTTTTAGCTTTATGTATATATTCTCCTTTGTTACTAATGGCATTAGACTTGGTTCATAATAGTTACCAGGTTCTGCGCYCCACAATGGCACATATTTTTTCATATCTCTTTTGTATAGTGAAAGCTAGTTGGAGGCCTGAAGTGTCATAGTGGAAAAACAAAAACCCACCCCTCTTATTGCCTGTGGCAGTGGAAGGGTTTGGCTAGAGAGGCCCACAGAAAGATAGTAAGCACTGCAACCAGAGGAGCACCTCGCACAGAAACAGCCTCTTCCTCTTAGTGTAGCTGGATCAGGTGCCAGAGCTGCCATAGTCACCTCTTAGGAGCTGGCTTTGTTTGGGGTAGAAAATTTACTAAGACATTTTTCTTTTTTGAATCTGCTATGCTTCCCCCTTCAAGCTTACCTGAGTTTTTCTAATAGTTTAAAATTTTCTTTTTCTATTCTAATGACACGCTCCTTTTTTAACATAGGTAAGGCTTTATACTTCTCCTTGACCTGTAGTGGCATGAGAGTATATAACATTACCTAAGATTACAAAGTAGAACTAACCCTGGCACTGCCATTAGCTGGACCCCACCTTCTGCCATCTCTGGCCACCAAGTCACTTTCCTTGTTTGCGGCTACACCACAGTGGTGGGACTGCCCGAGGGTAAGTTGTTCAGTGGACAGCATTCATCTCTTCTGAAAACAGTTTGCACAATTGCCAGTAGGCATTAGCTGGTTAAAATGCATCTAATCCAAAAGAAAGCTTTCAGATTCATCATTTAAAAACTGGCATGGAATAACAGTTTACCCAACCATCTACTCACCTTTGTTTTTAAGCACACATACATTTTGATTTTTGCTAAGGAATTAAAGTTGCATGTTTTTGACTTGCCTAAAATTAGACATGGATCTTGGGTTTGGCATTGCTTTGTTCCTAAAAGAGGGGGAAAGCTCTCGGCATTGCAGTAGCTGTAACCATATAATGATCTTTTTTTGTCCTTCCCAACTAGATTAGTAGCATGTCTTCATCCACTATATTCTAATCCYCAAGCTACTGTAGATGTTTCCAAGTCATTTGTACAAAGGCATTTATTGTGTATTTATTCTCTGACTCCTTTAGCAGCTCAAAAAGTGGAAGATGAAGTTCCTATTCAGTGCTAATGTGATAACAGCATCCAGTAGATCATGGTTGTGTGTTATTTGAGAAAACAAAAAACCAAACAGTAAATCCTTCCACCGGAACATGCAGTGGTTTCAAGAAGTCACTTGTGAATTCTAAATTACATGCAAATGGAAACTAACCACGTGTTCTTTGATTCAATATTAAAATTTTGCTTTTGCTTGTCATGTAGAATAGCCTATTCCGATTTTTGGTTTTTAATTTCTGTCAGTTCCATAATCATTGCATGAGCATTCACCATCACTGAATGCTGGTGCTGGCGCTCCTAATTTTTCCTTTCTTTTTTTAATTTATTATTATTTCTAACTTTTTTGTTTTGTTTTTAACTTGCAGTGCAAGCTTCACATAAAGCCTGGCAAGCCAAGGATGTTCCCGCATTCACCTGCTTTTGCAGTAATAGTGTATCTCTGCCATCTGTGTCCTTTTGTTTTATTTTGTTTTGCCCTTCCCCAAACACCAATAACTCTTAACTCATTTTGCTGAATGTTGTCGGGTGGTGGAAAACCATAGAACAAGGGAATAACAGCAAAGGCTCTGTGCAGCTGGACTTTCGTTTCCGGAAATTAAATGATTTGCCCTTTATGCCTGTTCCGAATGGCAGCGGGAAGCATGCCTGTTACTTGTATGTCGCTTTGGATCGAGGAAAGTGGGTAAAATGCTGCCTGTACGTCTGATGTGAAAACTTCTCACCGCCTCAGCAGCTGAACTAAAACCCTGAATAGCCATGACAACAACTTGCATTTTCTTGATTGTTCATCTCCATGATTGCACAATCCCGAACTCCCTGGGTTTTTTTTTTCCACACCAGCCCCAAACTAAGATAGATTTGAACGTAGGCAGAAAGGTGGGTGAGCATCATAGATGACTTTTACATTTGCATGAATTTTTGTTTGTCTTAATGGCTAACATTATTGGCTTGAGCTTGTGGTCTGTTCCAACTGTCTCCCCTCAGGGGTTGAGACTGCATCTGAACACCCACTCAAAGCCTGGCCGAGTTGGCACCGACTGGTGTAAGGAAATGATAATCATGTTCATGTTGGCCAGTGTGTTTTTCATCCTCCCTCCRATCAAGATCTCAAAGGTCAGGTCCTATATCACTGATTGTAAAAGAATCTTCCACTGAGGAGGATGGGCTTCCCACAATCTATTTACAGTGAGGACCCTTTCCTACATTTGCTCTCAGCAGGCTGAGGCACTGGACATTGGTACTTGTAATAAAACTATTCACTATCCACGAGAGAAAGTTTCACAAATACTTCACATAAGAAATTTGCTATAAATTGTGTGTGTCATCTGTAGCACAAAGTTGAAAGGACATCATCAATTTAAGGTAAAACTGAGAAGGCAGGCAACAAAACCCATGAGTCCAAAAAATAAAAAGGAAAGAAAAGAAGTGTTCAACTTCACTGCCAGTTTCCTTGCTGATGTTTCAGATCCAATTGTCTTGAATGAAATTTCCACACTTGTCCCCTTACCATGACTGACTCTACCTGCCCTTTGTGTCTCAGGCCCACTGTCTCATCCAGGTTTGGGACTAACTCATATGCCAGGACATATACTACCTTCCTGATTTGTATGGAGAAGGGCATATCTGATCTCTTTTCTGTGCCAGTCCTTTCGCATGCTTATCTTTGTATATGCTTGTTCCCCTGATCCCAACAAGATCCTCCCAGCTTTCTAACCCTGTCCTCTCCTACTTCTTACTTAAAAGGATAACATTTCTCATGAACCCAACACTTTACCTCTAGGTTTCCTCTCTGACCATCGCTAGTTGCATATTAAGTTAAATAAGATAGAATATGCTACACCTCCCTTCCCCTGACACACACTTTGTTTTTAAAGTAATAAATATTTGATTCCAACAAAGATCCCCCCCAACCTTCTCTTTGTCCCCAGTCATACTGAGGGGAAAGAAGGGACACTCTCCCATGAACCTGATGTAGGCTTAATTAGGCAAAGTAAGGAATTGAGTTTCACTGGAATGCAAAGTAAGCTGGGAAAGACCTTGCCAACTAGACCAGCAGCAGTTATGGTCTTCACAGGTTGAGAAGCCACTAGACCATCATTTTTGTCTTAGCTTTTGTTTGTATAGCAGTTCTGAAGCTGGCTGTCCAGCACTAGACGGCATGCCGACTCTAACCATGGGCTGCGTTTGCTCCTATGCTGAGCACTACACAAAAGCTTGAATCTTTGTGTCATATGCTTGTTCCAACCACTGCTTGTGTGAGCATTTTTGTGCCTTGTAACCAGAAAACATACTTTTCAATTCTGTTTCTCGCATCCCTGAAAGCTTTTAAATATGAGCCTAGCACGACGAAAAGCATCCTGCTGACTTTTTGATTCCAAGATGATTGATTGATTGGATTGATTCTTTTTTTTTTTTTGCATTAAAATTTACAAAGCAAAATGAATCAGATGGAGAGTCAGGGAATAAAAAGTCAAAAGAAACATATAGAAGCTTTTTTCAAAAAAATGTGTTGCTTCTGAACTTTTTTTCTACCACTGCTCCCCAGCCCTGTTTAGTTTGTTATTGCTGCTCTTTTTCTTTCTGTATCTATGCCTTTTTTCACAGTAGTCCTTGGCTCTGCACGGAATAAATGATATCCTCAAATCTAATTGGATGTGCTTTCGCCTTTGCATGTAAGTATAGTAGTGAGAAACCTTCCAGATCTTTCTAACACTTTAAAATTAGAGAAAACAAATGGGATGGATGGATTTTCTTTTTTTCCTTTTTTTTTTTTTTTGAGGGGGTAGGGAGAGAATGGTCTGAGTAACTTTTCTTCTAAACAAATTAAAAATATCTAAAGTGGCCATGTTTTCCCCCCCAACAATGTACATGTTTTTCAACTCCTTGATTTCAATGTGGAAATCGGAAATCCTGATCCCAGCCTGTGTTCTGCACAGTATCATGGGCATCATTGGATGTTACACAGAGTCCTTGACTCTGACGTTGTAAACTAGAATGAGAAACTGCCACCTTCCACTGGAGCAAATCAAAAAGAAAGAAACCTTTTATGCTGGGCCGACTTCATGATCACTTAAATTTTGGATCTTGATAAATGGGCTCTCCTTGGTGCTAACAGTAACAGTGATCATTGTTTTGTTTCTTTTTCTTTTTTGGCCAGTTAGTTCCAGTTCCTCTCCCCATCTTCTGTTCAAATATAATAACCGTCTTTTTCCTTCTTCTGGACTGTACATACCCCCAACAGTTGTATGTGTTGTAGGATGTGATGAAAGAGCACGTATGGGAATTTATTGCAGGTCAGAGACTGGGTTTTCCCAGCATAGGCTCTGCATTAATGGTCAAGGTTTTGTCTAAAAAGGCATCATCTCTCAACCAGGGAACTGTCTGATAACAACGCTGGGCAAGGTGTCTTGTAATCTTCCTTCCCTGCTTTGTAACTCACCAGCAATATGCTTATTTTCCATATCTTGGGCACTTCCGATGAACGCACGTTTTCCTGACTTTCTTGATGTATCCATAAATGTTTCACACATGGTTTGTTGAGTCGGGTTTTTCAGCTGTTCCTGGCCCACGTCATGCTGTCTCTGTGTGGTCCAACCTGAACTGTCCATTCAGATTCCTTGGCTTTGCCCCTTACAAGTGTCTGGAATTGTCAAGTCTCAGCTTCCAAAGTCCTGGTTCTGTTGGCAGGACATGTGCGATGATTCTTTAGCGGGAATTATGACCTACAAAGTCTAGTTTGTATGTAGGTATGAAGGGAATTTTTAAAAATAAATTGAAAATTAAGCTGTGAACAGCATTAGAACTTTGTCTATTTCTTAATTTTTAAAATATGCTGATATGCCTTAAACTGTAGCTGTAGATTCTTGTCATTTTGCTGTTTGAAAATAACCGATGTGTTTTCTAAAACTGTTGTGTAATCTACTTTCATCAGTGTTAATGCGGAATTGTCATATATGTAAGATGCATGTTAGACACTTGTCTTTTTTTAAGAACTAAAATAATTGTATTATTGTGAAGTCTCATTTTTTTCAAGTATGAAATTAATCAGCAGCGTGCTGCATAATTTGGTGTCTGTTAAGGTAGGAGAGTGGTGAACAGGTTATCTATGCATATATCACTAGTGCCAAGACATTAAGCAGGGGAAAATATATTTTTACCCAAACATTGTTTTGTGTGCCCTTTTGTGAGTTCTTTTTAGTCATTGATTGATATCCATATGGACATACACGTGCTTATTATATTGGATAAAATAACTAGGGATGGCAGTGTCTCACGCTCTCTTGCCTTTCGTGGTGGACTTCAGGTGCTGCTCAACGGGCAGCTCCAGCTTCTCCAAGACACTTGCCATGTTGTGTCCTGCAGCTCACGTATAGKCCCCGCCCCCTTCCCTCCATTCCTGTCCCTGCCTGCCCTGTGGATTCACGTGTCTGGGTGCCCAGCAGAAGTATTCTCTTCTCTGACCTGCGCCTGCGGTGCCCACGCTGCCACTGTGCCTCCAGCTGTGCTCAGTGACATCATCCCTCTAACTGACACATCGCTGTTCTTTCACAGCTTGTTATAGAGAAGCACTTTTTTTTTTAAGGTTTTGAGAACCAAATTTGAATCTGAACCTTTCTTTTTTYTCTTCTGTAGCTTCTTCTTTATGTAACCATCCTGTTGACAAGCCCTACTCTCTCCTAATGGACATAGAGCATTAGAAGAGCAGGAGCTGTCTGTTCACACGTGTTGGGGAAGAGTTACCTCATTTCCACCATCGCCTCCCGTTCTTTTAAAGTCTGGGTCAAATATTGCACTGCTGTTTGTATTTGTCAATGTTTGTTTACAAACCACTGCCCACAGTGGCTACCGAAGTGACTTCACTACCAAAAATAGTTTAATAATATTAATTAAAAGAAAAAAAGGAAATAGAGTGAAACAGAAAACTTGGGCCCAGACCCAAGGTCTTGTGCCGGAATCCGCTTGCTTAGCTGTCATGTTCTTGATGCTGCTGATCCAAGAACTCATGGACCCTAACCTGAGGTGGACCCACCTCCAGGGCAAACTTGATCTCATGGTAACTCCCGACCTCTCTGTCCCATGAGCAACATTCTGAACAGCCCCATCAGGATCCTCACTACCATCAGGTCATAAGAGCCGGGCAACGTGTTCCTTCCTTCTGTTAGTTTTGTGGGCTTGTGGGTTGTTTTGGTGTTTGGGTTTTTTTTAAACATTTGATATTGCATGAACAGAGATGGCTGCAATTTTTTCCTTTGGAGTGTCCTATTGATACAATGTTTTTATTTTTCAGCTGACCATCTGCCTCTTGAGAAGGAGAAGTGGGCATCCTTCCTTTAAATTCAGGAACCATTGTTTTATTTGACCCTTTTTCTGTTACCTGCATCTCTTATACAAGTTGTTTGGGATTGGGATTCTGCTTTGGGAGTTTTTTKGGGGGAAAAAATTCTATAGTTTTGTTTTTTGTATTGGTTGTTCAAACTTACTTTTGGTATCAAAATTATGCCAGTTTTAAGCTCACTTCAAGGGGAAATATGAGTGAAGTTTAAGTCTCAAAATTCTGTTTTAATATGTTCTCTTCATCTTAGACAAAACTAAAAAAAAAAACTCCCCTTCTTTGTTACTAGGGTTTTTGATCTATGGGTCTTAATCATATTTAAAATGAGTAGATGACTTTTCTGCCTCTGGGGCTCAATTTATATTTAAAGATACCTTAAAGTGATTTTTCTGATCCATCCCTGCCTTTTTATTTGTTGTGAAGCTCTGCTTTACCTTGTGTCCATGGTTTTTCACCAGGACCCGTGTGTCCTGCACCATGAGAAATGAACCCCACACAAGCACATTCCAGCTCCCTCCCACATGACAGCATCCTTAACATGGGCTGATTGACATTGTCTTCTCAGAGTGACCCAGAGGTTTTTGCCACACTGTTTGCAAAATATTGCTGGTCATGAAAGCACTGGATCACTTCAGATACACCCACATCCAAACGCACACTTTTGCCATTTGCATGAGTCTGATTTCCAGTGCTGACTTGGTTGTGACGAGTCAGATTCAGGGCTCCATAACTTAAATAAGCTCTACCTGTTGTACAATTTTCAAATTCAACAGTAGATAGTAGATCATAGTCATGCCTTTGAAGTTACCTTCCAAGTTCATTGCTTACCTATAGTTTTACTTATTTGCATCTTTTCCAGCTCTAGTAGGTAGATCATAAAAGTACTATTGGTAGCATGAATTGGTCAGGACCCTAGGAGTGGTCCCCTCTGTATGAGAAGGTAATCTATGCTTTTGTTGGGCAGTGAGATAAATGATGAAGCAAAGTGGCTGGTGCTTTGATTCCTGGAAAGAGGTTACTTAAAGCCATGAGATGAGCATTCGAAAGAAACTAAATGTAAGTAAAGTCAGATTCATCTGTGCCATTAGATAATGAAACCATGAGTCAAGAGCTGTCTCCCTCATACTACACCACAATTTGTAAAGACAGAAATCTGGTGATGGGATCAGTGGCAGTGTAAGGGTTGCAACTCTTTGATACCAGAATATAACACATTATCATAGAATTAAACATGTAGGTCTCATTGAAAGTATAATTGGCTTTATTCTTAAGCCCCTTATTTTTAATATTGCATCAATTTTATACTATTGTTTTAAGAACATTCTGCATCAGCTGTAAAGATTTTTTTGAGCAATGTTTAAAAGTCTAGGTAGTATTATTTTTCTAAGTAGAGAAATGTGTGGTCTGAAGTTGCTATTCTTTTTCAATCTTAACCCCCAGGTTAGAGGCAGTCTAAGAGTAACCTTGATAGGAACAGAGGCTGTTCTTAGTAGGTTAGCCTCCATTCAGTAAACTTAGGGGAGCCAATCATGGACACCATTGTCAAGTGCCTTGCCATCTCTCTAAGACTGCCACTGATTTGGCATTTTACCTTCGGTGGCTCCTTTTTTCAAGTGTTGGCAAAACTGGTAGGTTCTCAAGTTCTCCTGACTGTGAAAGGGATGTGAAACCACCCTGGGGATAATGATCAGCAATAATAAAAATTACTAGGTTATCTCAAACTAGATAGTGGAAAAGAAAAGCAAGGAGAACTTAGCCGTCAGAACATATTTCCATGGGTGACAGCCTTTTAATTTTTCATTCAATCTTTTAAAAATATTACTTGATACTAGATACAGACTCTGCCTAATACAGGCATAGTCTAGATGGTCCCCTTAAGATTAGTACAACACAAGAATAAAGGAGACATCTGATCTGAATCTGTATACACTGAGCCACAGCAAATGAAAATAAGGCATTATCCCAGTGTTGGGCTAAACCTTCTTCCCCATCAACAGTACTTGTATGAAAATTCCTTATTTATATTTTTGTCTACCATTAGCAGAGATTATGGGTAAATAGTTCTGGTTGTCAAGAAGCTTAAGTACATAATTTTTTGCTGTATTTAGGTGAACTTTCTACACAAAACCTTTTGTTTGACAGATGATTTACCATCTTTCTACTGTGGAGATTGACAGTGAGGGCACGGGGGCCCACTTGGAAGTCCCTTGTGCTTGAATTGTTATGACTGTGGTATCTAGTCCTTGTGACTGATGCCATCTGGCTTTCAGATCAATCTCCAGAGAGCAACTGTCATTCCCAGGGCTGGTGAAGGAACTGAATATATTCATTTGTGAAGACTCATGTAAGCCTTTTCAACATTGCCATTCCTGACTAGTAACTCTATAGAAATACAATCTGCTGGTTGTCAGTGGAACATCATATGGAGTGCAAGAGTCCACATCTGCCTCAAATCATTTGAAGTACCATGAGTTGAATGGCCTTCCCTTCCTTTGTGGAAATTGTCTTTCAAAATTATGCCTCCGGAGAGGCAGAGGCTATTTTAATGAGGCCTGTCCCACAATAGAATGAATGTGCACATGTGTAAAGAGTAGAATAACATTCCATCAGGAGGTGGGCATAACCCAGGCATTCTTTGTACATGCTTTTAGAACTCGGATCAGTTGCAGATCTAGCTCTCCTTGCTTTTTACATCCACCCCTACTACTCACTTTCCGTAAACTTTATTCTACATAATGCACCAAATGTACATTAGGTGCACTTCTCCCTCTACACCTCCTAAGCATAGTAAATTTTTGGAGTGAAGGAAAAAGTAAGCCCTTTCCATTGCTAACTTATCTGAAGATAGATTATATTCTGAATAGCAAGAGAGTCCCGTTACCAGTTGCATTTCTGTGGTTCTTTGCTGGAGTTTGCCCTTCATTCGGGGGTATCTGCTGCCTAATAAAATAAGCTGTTCCCAGGAAATAAGACACCAGTTCACTGTGTCTAGAGCTATTTGAGAAAAAATTTTTTCCTTCTTTATTGCCTTAGCTATTGTGTAACATAATAAGACCAACAGTTCTGACATTTGATCTGATATAAAGATTATATGTTGAGTCTAAAAGGAGAGTTCTCCCTCATCCTTAACTCAGAAGCGGGGAGCTACAAAACTAGAATTGTGAATTCATATTTCTGTATAAGCCATTGTTGGTTGTGCATTGAAGAAGAGTAATCAACAGATGGCAGAAGTGGAGATGTCCTACACATCAGTATTTTGTAAAACTCACTCAATTCATCACTATGAGGAGAAAAGGTTTTAAATTCCTTGATGCATGCTGGCTGTGAACATTTTTTTACTGTCCTAATGACTGGTGGAATCCAACTCAAGCATCAAGCTTTTAGAACCTATTTTCACACCATCTCAATTTTATTTCTAGGCTACTTTGTAGGACTCACAAAACTCACTAATTAGGATGCTTAATTTGTAAAATTGGTCTGGGTTTTGTTTTGTTTTTGGTTTGAGACTGGGTACCCATTTTTTTACCCTTCTCTGAATTTGCTGACGTTCCGTTTTACATGCATCCTGTACCTTAAGTGATCTGTACTAGTAACTGCAAAAATTGTTGATGCAGTGGCACTTAGTAACCAGGGCAGTGTTCAACTGCTCATTACCTTAGATGAAGCCCCCCAAAACTCAATTTCTTTCAGAAATTTAAAACAATGAATGATTCTTTTTCTGGAAGCACCATCTAGTGGTCAAAGCTCAAAGCATTATTTAATAAGTATAGGAAACTGTTGTTAACATAGTTTAAACGCTAATTTCAAGAATTTGAGAGGCTTTAGAAGTGACATTTACATGTTAGTCAAAACATCCTGATGTCAAATAGAAGGGTAAAGGGTTAAGACGAGTTAGAAGTTGAACCTCTTTCAAAATTCTTGGCTTTGTGGTACTGTACAACTCTCTTAACCCTCAATTTGATAATGTAAACCAGAGATGCTTCTCTCAGGATGATTGTGAGAAAGTTTGGCACAGTGTCTTCCCTTTTCAGCTAAAGAATGTACAAACTACCTTAGAAAGAAGATAAGCTACCCATCATGTTGGCTGAGCATCATTAGCTTAATAACATTTTCTGCTCAAGGGAAGAAGCCACCATGCTGATTTGGGCAGTAATGTTCAAGCACAACTTGCCTTCTTGCTTAAGGAAGAGTTAACTGGGAAGCTTGACCATCCAGGTATGTGAGGAGTATAGACAACACAAAAGTGGTTGGCTCTAACATAGAAAAGAAATAGTACTTCTTGGGTGGGCAGACACTGATCTCTCAATTCCCTCAACAGTGGGAAGCCAAGGCAGCTGAATCAAGAGCTACCCTCTAGCTTTCTTCAGAGACAAAGGCAATGTCAGGAATATTTCTCACAAGTGTATAACATTTGCTTTCTTTGGTGTTTGGAAGCACTCATTCCCAGCTCTCCTTCCCCCTCCACACTAAGACAATCGTCCATCTATAGGGGAAACATTCACTTCTCCACAGGTAAAGAATAGTCTCTCACAGTTTCATCTTCAAGAACTACAGCATGTTCTTTCCCTCTTCTGTGGGAGTATTAGAGAACTACTTTATGCCCATCAAGTTTCCTAGCCTTTCCAGAGGCTTCATGGAATGGTCTTATRACCACCAGGAGGCACCAAACAATTATGATACATAGTTTTAAGTTCCCAAATCTTGGCTGTCATGCCAAGATACCAACTTGGGACAGATTAAGTTTTGGATAAAACAGGAATAGTTAGAATATTCTTAATGAAAAGTTAGTTCACTGCTATTTCTCAAGCCAGAGTTTTCAAAGAGACCACASAAAGTGGGCTGAGTTCTCTAGACTTACCAGGGAACACACATTGAAAGGGTACACGGGTCAGGTCTCAAGTATTATAACTTGAACTACGGGTTAAATGTACTTTGAGGCATGAAAACTAGAAGTCCAACCACCCACTTGATTCAGTGTCCCATAGAAATAATACTGTTCCAAACTGATTTACCATATTTTTGGGAGGTTGGGGGAGAGATGGGGGTCTTGCTACATTTGCCCAGGCTGGGTCCCAAATTCCTGGGCATGAGTAAGCCTCTTACCTCAGTCTCCCAAGTAGCAGGAGTTACTGGTATGTAGCACTGTGCTTTATTTATTTATTTTTGGTGGGGTGGAGTACTGGAGATTAAATCCAGGGGCACTGTACCACTGGGCTACATCCCCAGCACCACTTTTAAGACAGGGTCTCTTAAGTTGCTGAGGCTGGCCTCAAACTTTGTATTCTCATCTCCAGAGTAGCTGGATTTACACCGCACCCAACTACTATCCACTTTTAATACTAGAAATACTTAAGATCAAGTGATCAAAATCCTGTTGCCCTCTAATTTTGCTCAACTTGAAGCTCTAGGACTACAAATTATTCTAAATCTGGACTTAATGTTACTCCCGGCTTTCTACATAACAAAACTATGTCATCTGTTATGGGGGTGGGGGGAACTAAGTGCCCATTTGTTTTGTAGATACTGTGAATATACAGTTATGGAATTTTAAAAAATATGTATCTGAGGCCAATTCCTGCTATCTTCACTAACAATTGCTTTATCATCTTCCCTCATTCCCTGAACTTAGACAAGAGCAAATTATTCCCCTTCAAGGTTATAAAATTGGAAGGTAGGTAGTCAACCTTTCAACCTTGCTCTGCTATACCTAAACAAAATCAGTGGGCTAAAAATGTTTCCTAGATGCAGGTCTGGGCCTTCCCCACACAGTCCCATTAGTATAAAACTTTACTGTTTGGTCACTGATGGGCTGTGGATCTTCCAAACACCATAAAGGGAAAACTCTCATGTCTAAAACCTGCATCCTTGTCACATTCAAATCCCTTTTTATTCATGTTTTATTTTCAGTAAACATATCTTAATCTTTTCTATCGTTTTCCTTTGTTCAAACAGCAGTGCCTAAGTACCCAGGAAACCGTCCCTTCATAAGGGGGGGGGACTTCAGACACAAAGATTAAGGACAACTTTTTATTGCTTCCAGAGGTTTTTTATCATCAGTAYATGGTTCTGGCTGTAATACCTTCTTCAGACTGTGAAGGGAGCTCAGGATCCAGAAGTTAAGAAAAACATAGGTATATTGGGGTGGGGGAGAGGAGAATAACTTTTTATCAAGAAAATCCTAATAGCTTAACATAAAAGTAGGGTACTAAATTCAGTTATTACATATTACAAGACTCAGATCATTAGAGCTGCCCCAATATCTAGACAGTCTCTCCTACTGATTATCAATGAGTGAAAACAAATCAATTACAAAAAAATCTAATTATAGGTTACATACATGTTTCTTTGGTAAGCACCGGGATATATTAACTTTATCACAAATTCTTTTATACATCTGTCAAAAATGCTTTCAACAAATCTGTCTCAATTACATGCCATTTCAAGCTTCACTTTAAACAAAAATGAAGTTACTTTGTTTTTAAGCTCTAAAAATTGAAATAAGATCAAAAATCATGTGGTAACATGAGAACTTTTTCTTTCTACCACCTCTGATTCATATGGGACAATTCCAAAGTACCCTTTTCAGATTAACTGGAGTTGAATCATGAATTGTACATGGCTGCCATACTAAATTAAACTGGTTAAAAAAAATTCAGGGTTACCTATTCAGTGAAGTCAGAAGATAGGGATGAAAATAAAATTTGTTAAGTATTCAGTGGAGAAGCAAGCAAAAGCAATACAATTTAAATCAGGATGACAGGAACACAGTTGCTAGAGTTTTAGAACTTTTTTGGAGCATTAAGAGTGTAATTTTTGACATGGGGCAAACTACATTTTAGCAGAGAAAAGAGTGAAACTGGTATACTACAAAGAAGTTTTTTTTTTTAACTTTTAAAAAATATTTTGGATCCTTGTGTTTATAGGCCTTTAAAAATGAATTTTAATAAGTTGCACAAGTAAATGAAATTAAAGAAAAAAAACTTTTTCCTGGCTCACTTCAAACCAGCTGGATAAGATACACAGCCCTCTACAGACTTTCCTGGTTTTGCATATTCTGATTCCCAGAATAGTCAACCTTAGTTTGCACTGAAAGCTAACTACATGACAGAAACAGGTTGCAAAGGTGGACAAGGGGAAGCATGTCCCTCTTGCCTTGATAAATCAGTGCCACACACAGAACCCACATTTTCAGAAGCACTATCTTCATTATAGAGCCGTTTGATTCCATCATAGAAATCATCCACTTCCATTTCCTCTACTTTGCGCTTAGCAGAGGTATGCTTGCACCCACTGACAGCTGGGAGATGGTAGAAGGCTGCTGTACCTCTGACTGGCACTTCTGGCTTGCTGTTGTCCTTGGAGAAATCTGGGTCTGAGACAGAGGAGGGATGTAATCTGAATGCTCCTTTGTCACAGGTCACCAGGGTGTGCTTGAGGGGACGGTAGACATAAACGGAATTTAGAGGCAGGGAAGACTGCAGAGTAGAGAGGTGATGTGCCACAAGCTCCCGACAGTGGATCAAGTGGGAGCTATCCATCTGGACCAAGGAGGGGGAAAAACAACATTGATCATTAATTAAAATAGGCTATTGTAATCTTTGCTGGCCACTTTTCCTTGCTGCATCCTCTTGTTCCTTCAGCTTTCTCTTCTTTTCCCACATCTACTTCAAACTTATCAATGCCTATGGCCTACCCACCCCATCTTAAATTGTGTCCATATCTAATGTAAATATCTCGGGAATTTAAATTCTCTGTTTTTTTGGGGGGGGGGTACCGGGGATTGAACTCGGGGGCACTCGACCAATGAACCACATCCCCAGCCCTATTTTGTATTTTATTAGAGACAGGTTCCAAGTTGCTTAAGCACCTCGCCATTGCTGAAGCTGGCTTTGAACTCGTGATTCTCCTGTCTCGGCCTCCTGAGCCACTGGGATAACAAGTGTGATCCACCACACCTGGCTACTGGAACTTGAATTCTATATCTGCAATTATATGCTGAACATTTACCTGGGTTCAAAAATCTATTCTCTTTTGTTCACTGCTATGTGAACAAAAAGCAATGTCTTTTTGTCTGTTTGTTTACTTATCACATCCCTGCCCCCCCCCCCCAGTCTATTATTTTTGTCTACCCTTCACCTTACCCTTTTTGGCCTTTTCTAATGTTTTTCCATGAAGATCAAAGTAGAAGATAAATACAAAAGTCATTAAGAATTTAAGGAAGAAGCCAGAGGCAAGGGGGAAACAAATTGGGTGGGAAAGCTTATCTAAGAATTAAAACAATTTCAGTACCTTGCTTTAAAACTTTAGACACATTTTTATAGAAGACAGTAAAACTTAAAAATACTAGGCAATATCTTTGTTAATCTTTCTATTTGATTCGGGAATTTTGCTTATTCCTTTTTATCCTTCAGGATAGTTCAAGTATCAGTCCTTTTTTGAAGTCACACTTGATTCCAACCCTCTGAATCCCCYAATTTATGGTCATCTGCTTCTATATCAAAGTATCATCATACTTTCCATACTGTATTAGAATAATCTGTTTGATCACTTAGCTTTTCCATTATAGACTAAAAGATCTCAAATAATAAGCACTGTATCACATCACTAAGTTTCTAGTAGAATGCCTGTACAAGTAAGGCCTCCAAAATCTTAACTGTGGTAAAAAAGTCTTACTTAACCTGTAATTATAGCACTGTCTAAATAACATCCAACATCATATATATTTAGCTTATTCAAATTTCTCTAGTAGTACCCCAATGCCTACCAGAAATATCAAATAAGGAAAAGGAATTTAGCTTATTATCTATAATCAGCCCAAACCTCATTTTCCAGCCCTATTTCCTAACATATCCCAAATTTATGCTCTACATTCCTACCAAAAGGCCTGGTCTATTTACATATAATTTTCTCCCTTTCTTTCTTTATCCTGGCTTATCCTGTTTCTACCTGTGAAACTGCATTACCCATTGCCTCTAGCCTAACTAAACCCTATTACCTTCAGGAAGCTTCTTTTGAACATTTATCAGGGACCACTTTTTTCTAGTGTTGTGCTCTCTATAGGTATTTTGGACCTTTCTTAATAAGTGTTATTCATTCCTATATAACCTGCAGCATTTAGTATATGAGTGTCTTCAATTCTTTATAGTGAAAACAAAGGAAAATAACACATTCTACAAGAACATATTTGGTCTCAAAAATTAATTTTATCTCTAAATATATTCATTATATGTTAACCAGGAAAGGATGACAGTCTCGTGTTAGTCGTCATGTAATACAGACGTAAAATTTCCTCAAACTGTCAGAAATAAAACATGAAAATGGCATTTGAAGATCTACTGTTTTGTTCACTGATATTTTGTCCCTACTTTGAAGAGCACTTGATAACACACCACTGGTAAGATATTAGCTAGTATTAGGAATTTATTTCCTTAAATAATACTTAAGATAGTCCCCCAACATCAAGCTTACTATTGTAGGCTGGGWCATATGTAGAACCCAGAAATGTAGAATAAGCTAGCCTATGGTGAAATACTGGAAAAAAAGCACAGGGGCTTCTGCCAATATTTTGAGCAGCTTATAAAAGAGAAGTACTAGAGATAAAAGAAATTGGACAGTGGAAAAAAAGACTATGGTGTAGAAATTATTTCTAAAATGTTCCAAGTTTAACAAACTTGTTTTTTAGCAACTAAATGATGTGTTGCAACTCAGAAAAGCAAAATTATAAAAATATTAAAGCTCTGATCACTGGGCATAATACTATGGAAGAATCCTGAAAAATGATACATATATGTACAAAGACTAAGTCACCATAATCTTTCTGTGTAGGGGAAAAAAAAAGAAATATGGAATTGTTTTTGAAGTGAAGACTGGAAGAAAATAATAGCTAGAATGTCAGTAAAAGGAGACATAGCTCAGTTGGTAGAGTACTTGCCTTGCATGCACAAGGGTTCAATTCCCAGCAGGACCCCCCTCCAAATCAAACTAATACTATCTGTATGAGCTCTATCTTCCACCCAAGTCTCAAGGCAGTCCTCTTCCAAAACAACACATCAAATTAAACCTCTCATCTAGTAACAATCTGACCCTGTTCTAAAGAAAAAAATCCTTATTGAGATCCAGTGGCAAAACCAAATGTACATAATACTGAAATTTCCACAACTCTAGATACTAGAGAAGTCCTCTAATGGATCTGTTAAAACATTTAAAATGAACATTTTCTAATTACATGGTGCCAGTAGAACCATTATTAATTTTTATGACTGTCTCCCCAAATCTTAATATGATGTATCCTCTGCCAGAAAAACAAAACTAATTTAGTTTAACAAGGAGATAGGTTAAGAAGCACTAAAACAGATTTCAGATACGTTACTGATGAGAAGCAGAAGTACAACAGTATGACAAAGGGATAGGTCCAAATAGATTTGGGTTTGGTGAGCAGAAAGTAGCACTGAAAATACGTGCTGGAAGTGTGACCTTAGGTACCTTTAGGAATAACGAGAGACCCTGGTGGGGAGGGTCTGCCTTTTCAATTCTCTACTTTAGTTTTAAACTAGAAAACTGACGAACTTCTTCACTAGAAATTAGGGAGATCACCACACTAATCTAGGTAGAGTTAACACCCTGAGATATAAGAGTGGGCCACATTAGTCACAGGGAGAACGTGAGCACAGCCATTAAACAGATCAAGAAGAGAAGGGTAAAAAAAGGTTGAGCTGTCCCAGAGTAGAGACCAAGAGGCAGTACAAAATTTTGGCTTGGGAGGGGGAAAGGCCAGGAGGGAGAAGTTTTGCCTTTCAAACCAGAGAACACTCACCATACCTTGTCCCAAATGCAGAGAGGGCAAACCTAGTGATTGTGGCCTCTTCAAAGCACAAAAATGTCTACAAATGGACCCTCCCCCTCAAACCAAGATGCTGGGAATCATGTCAGAAGTAATACTGGCACTGGGCTGGGGGCTTGTCTACTATGTGCAAGATCCTGAGTTTGATCCCTAGCACTGCCAAAATAAATAAATAATATTATTATTATTATTACAGGCATGATCTCAGTTTGATGCAAAAATATGCTATATGAGACCAGGCCTTGTCACAGGTCAATTACGAAGATACTATACCTGGTGTTCCAACCTGAACAAAGGTGAACTTAGCCAAGATAGAACTGCTACACAAAATTCCAAAGTCTCTCCAAGTTTTGTGAGCTTACTTGTATTGGTTTATTATCTTCCCCATTGCAACTTGAATTCTGCATGTAGCAGAAACCTTTATTTCTTTTAAAATCATTGTTTTCCCAATGTGTAGATCACAGATTTCTCAATAAATGTTTGTAGAATATAATTGCTAATATACTCATATAATGTATATGAGAAAGAATGGAACAGTAGTGTTCAAAGTATGTCCAAACAGATTATAGAAAGGAAAACATTCTGATCAGTAAGGACTCTGCCCCCAACAGGTCTCTGCCCTGAATGCTTATTACAAAAGCCACTTTTCTACTCTATTCTGGGATTGTATGTATAAATTTTGTTATAAGGAGAAAGGCAAAGAAAAGGTTCCACTTCTAAAAGAAACTCTGAAAACCACTGGACTAAATTATTTAAGAGTGGTGTGGTATGGAAAAAAAACACTGGTTTTTAGTCTTCTTCACTAGTTAAGTTCTATGTGACTCTAACAAAATCCAAAGTTCCCTAGAGTTGTAAAATAAAGGAGTTGATCTAAGAAGATCCTGTCAAACGTCAAGTTTATAATATTCATTCAGTTAAGAAGAAAATAAATTTCAGTAAACACTTTCTTCTTTTAGCCCCTCCCAAAATATACAAAAGGGAATCAGTGGATTCCCCAGGGTTCTTCAATAGAGAATAAGTTCACAAAGCTACAGAATTTACTTTGCTATTTACAACATTCTTATTTATGCTTCAAAATCTGCTCTTTCTTTATGACAATAACACTTTACATAGCAATTTTTTTCTGTACTACCTTGGGAATAGACTCATAGGCCAATTCAGGAAGCATTTAAAGATAGGTCACGTTCCAATAAAAAAATAAGATAATATAGGAGGTTTTCTATTAATGCCTATTCCCCAACTTCACAGTCCAATGTTGATGATTAATATTCAACTTTACTTTCCAACACCTGATGCAGGCAAAGTCAATGTTCTGGTTCATGCTATTCATTTGTATGGTAGTTTATGACAGTTTCTAAAACTCCTCACTAAATAGCAACTACCTCTTAGGATTTACTTTCATTACCCATTTAATTCAATGGAAAGAAACACTCAAGTTATTTCAATCTAAGATATGGTATTTATTAGAACAACGTATCTCCTTTATAAAAGGAAAACAGCCTGTTATACTACATAAGTAGTACAACAGGCTAATATATTGGTCTGATCATCCTTTTTATGAAAAGACTCAGTTCTTCTCTGCTCACAACCTACGATCCAAAATTCTCAGAAGGTAAGGTTTTAGCACTGAGATACTTCTTAAGTGTCTCCTAATTTCAGAGTGCTCATCATTAAAGATCATCAATAATATCCTACCGAACAGCAAATTCAAGTATTATTTTTCTTCTATGTTTTTAAGCTCAGAATTTGTCTTCTAAATAAAATCAATATAACAAGTAAGAAAATGTACTGCTAAATGAGAATAAATAGACATAAAAAGTGAAAGGGAGTTCTTCAGTCTTTTATTTTAAGGGTAGGAGTATGGTTTGCAACAGATCTAAACTTGATGAATTCTACTTAGTGATATAATGGAACCAGTAAGGATTCCCTCCAAGTAACTGATAACATATAGCACTATTACTAACTTGACATTTGAATGAGAACTTTCTCCACTAAATCTTGAAATTTTGCTTAGATGGTTGCTGATTTATCAACCTACTAACAAACTAAATACAACCAAAGTTACTTTATATAAAATTAAAGGAGAATATATTGAGAATCTTCAGTTTTCAAAATTCTTAGATATTAAGTAACCTAGAAGGGTTGAAAATAACTAAAAAATGCAAATTTTGTAAAAGAAAAAAACATCTACCCCACAAGTTTAAAGTGTATAACCCTTTCTTCTTTTCTACTCTAAATAGTTTACCTTTACAGATTAGAAATGTCTTATGTACCCCAATAAAATAAAAACAAAATGAATTCTATTTAATCAGACTGGCACCTACCTGTGCTTTCTGAAGCAGTTCAATTGTAAGAGGAAGCCAATCAGGAATCAGTTTCTCCATTTCCAAACTAACCATGGCCAGAGCAAGCATGGATCCTTTGAATTGCAGAAATTGGTTACAGGCCATACAGTGAAGTAGTTGTTTGGTAAGGACYGCCAAATGTTGAGATGGGCTCAATTTGGGCAAACTGAAAAGTAACTGAGGCCTAGTTGACACGGCAATGGCATGGAACTGAAAATAAAAAGAATATTATTATTTTAATTTTATTTAAATGTGCAGAAAATTATGTATAAAAATTGATGTAATCTCCTCAGGTATTACTCAAGTTCTAAATTTGCAACTTTAGCTTCAGAGATTTGACATATATCATACTTTCTAACTTTTCCTTAGCTAATTTTAAATAGTTTTCCTAAAAATCAGTACAAAAAAAAAAAAAGAGTGGGTAATCTCTTTCAAATTACAGAAAAATTTTGGGTATAATTTATATATTACATACATATTCAAATATGAAACTGAAAGACTAGGTATAGTTACAATGTGAAGAAAATCCAATGGTGTGGCTGTGTGAAGATCCCAATTCAATTTATCCAGAATAATTCTCTCCATTCTCAAAATTTCAGATGAGGAACACCCACAGAAACTGTCTCTTGCCAATACCTTTAGTACTGGAATTTTCTATCCAAAGAAAAGGGGAACAGGAAGAAGACAGAAATAAATTCACGTTAAATTTTTGTCTTGGCAAACAAAAGGCAAGTTAATAAGAGAAAAAAGAGAAACAACTAATCTTGAAAGGATTTATTACCTCATCCTCTTCAACAGTCTTGGCAGCTAGGAAAAAACAGCTGATTGCAATACAACTCAAGTATTTTGGGTGGGCCTAAAATTTTGAAAAAGGGGGAAAAAAAGCACCTTTAGTCATTTTTTAAATAGTTTAAAGTTTGAAAACTAAATATGCTGACTAAATATGCTGAGACAAGTACACACAATTCTATAGAATTCAATTTCTACCAATTCCTGTCTAGCTCAGAGCTAACTTAACATCACAACCTTAGGCATGAGCTAGTCTATGGAAATAAAATTATTCCACTATTGAAAAGTTTAACTAACCATAGTCAGTTAGCTTATAAAGTCAATCTCTACCCAGCAAAATGCTTCATTTTACAAGTATTTAATAATGTTTCCCAAATTTAAAAATATATTTGTGTATGCATACATACTTTTAAAGTTAGATAGCCAAAGAGAATAAAACTAACAAAGTATTCATAAGATAATATACAAGGTATTATGGAAATTAAAGAAAGAAAAAATATAAAAGACCATAGTAACTAGCACATTCCAAATGCTTTAAAAAACTATGATGCTAGATAAGTAGAAATTTTCTAATTCCRTGCACATATGCATCGCACACACACACACACAAACACACCACACACACCTACTTCGTAAGAAAGAAAAGGCCCTAAAAAGACATACAAGGTTAGTGGTAAAAAAAATCTTTCTTGGGTTTAACACAAAATGACTTGAATTTGCCTGTTTTCCTATGTATAATAAAATAGGCTCATGTTCAAGGTGTCTGCCAATGCAGCACCAAAATGCTATTTTTATTAATTCAAACAATTTAGCCATATTAAATTCAAAGATGTACAAGTTAAATAACAAACAGTATGACCTGTTTAAACACTTATTATAAACTAATATAAACATACCAATGTTTATATTAKGCTTCCGCATAAGTGGTGCACAGCCTACAGATCTTTCAATCCTTTGTTCACAAGAGAAATAAAACATGGTTCAATACTATAAACATTTGAAAATAATTATTAATCAGAGCTTTAGAGTTAAAAAGTCATGTCCAAAAATAATATCATGTCTATCAGGTTTTCCTTTTAAAGTTGAGAAACTAGTCTCAGAGGTTAAGGGACATGACACTGGTAATCTAGAAAGTAAATTTAATTTTGTTAMTAGGACAGTTTTCTATGGGTTATTATTTCTCCAAGTATATAATACATAAAATCCTCATCTCTGAAATAAACTGAATTCTTTACAAAGAAAAGAACCTAACAACTCTAGGCAAACACTACTACTTCTAAAACAAGGGTACCAGTAAAAAATTTATTAATAAAAAGAATCCCAATTTTTTAAGGAAACATTTTCATTTTATTTTTATGTGGTGCTGAGGATCGAACTCAGTGCCTCACGCATGCTAGGCAAGGGCTCTACCACTAAGGGTCCCAAGCCCCCAAAAAAGTTTTTTAAAAAACATTAGTTCTCAGTCTGATTATATATATTACAATCCATCTATACAGTTTATTTTGAGCCCAGGGCCTTGAGTACACTAGACAAATACACCACTACTGAGCCCCATCCCCAATCTAGACTTTTTTGTTGTTGTTCTTTTTAGATATGCTGACAGTAGTTTTTTATTATCTGCAGTGCTGGGGATTAAACCCAGGGCTTCATATGTGCTAACAGGCAAGCGCTCTACCACTGAATTAAATCCCTAGCCTCTCCTTATTTTTAAGGGTTTCACAGTGATTTCTGCTGCTAGGATTGAGGCTCCCTTCACTACTGCAGCCCTTTTATGGTTTTTGTCTAAGTGTCTTTAATTTAAGCTACATTTTAGACTATTTCAATATAGATTAACCATACATAACCATCTGTAAATAAGGTTATTTGATGTTAACATGATTAAACCTAATAAGAAATATTTAAAAACAGGATTATATTTGGCAAAATTATTTCTAGAATTTCCAAAAATGTGTTTAAAATCTTCAGTAAACCTAAGAATTTTTTATGGTAGAAGGAGCAAGTTCATTACCAATTTTGAAAAATATGCAACCCAAGAAAGAATGCTAACTTTGAAAACTCAACTTTCTATGGAATTACCTGTGAAAGAAAGGTTAGCTATAGGAAAGGGAAGAGGGTAAAGACAGAAGACAGAGATAAATAACAGCATTCTAGCTGGGTGCGGTGGCACACACCTGTAATCCCAGCAACTTGGAAGGCTGAGACAGGAGAATCATTGAGTTCAAAGCCAGCCTCAGCAAAGGTGAGGCGCTAAGCAACTCAGTGAAACCTGTCTCTAAATAAAATGCAAAATAGGGTTGGGATGTGGCTCAGTGGTTGAGTGCCCCTAAGTTCAATCCCTGGTACCAAAAAATAAATAAAACCCACACTCACATATACATACAACAAAGTCGTTTTATGACCTCTTTATATCCCCAAGTATGTTTCTGGAAAGTATTTACATATTGTCCAGAAAAATCACACACTATGCATATTTAATAAATAAGAATGACAGAGAAAAATGTGCAAAAAACTTGTTACATTTTTTTAAGTCTGATTAAACTGTCCACCTCTAGTACACCAACATGTTAGAAGATGGCTAGACACTCTGCCAATGCTATATGGTTTGTACTAAATAAAGAGATCAAAATTTCAGCAACTTGGGAAGCTGAGACAGGAGGATCCCAAGTTCAAAGCCAGTCTCAGAAATTTAGCAAGGCCTTAAGCAATTTGGTGCGACTCTGTCTCAAAATAAAAAGGGTTGAGGATATATATAGCTCATTAGCGAAGACCCCTGAGATCAATCCCCAAAAACAACAAAATTTCATAGGGTAAATATGAGTTATGAGTATTTGTAGCAAAAAGAGTACAATTAGACACACAAAATTTTGAAAATAGAAGACATTATATCTTGACATGAGTATATAACACCATTATCCAAGAAAGTTCTTCATTTATACTTTATACCATGTATACCAATAACCTGTGGTTTAATATCTAAACTCTCAAGGAAAAGTTATGTGTAAATATTAAATATTATTAAATATTAAAATATTTACCTTTACAGTAGCTAAAAATCTGTCCAAAAGACTGCTAGCAAGAGCAAATGTTTCTGGGTAAAGGTTGAATTGGTACTTGAGTTTGGCCAGCCATTGAATTACTTCATCTCTCTGGGATGGGGAAACATTCTATACGGGAATAATTAAAAAATAAAATTAAAAGACAACAAAGTGTTAGTTACCATATGAATATAATTTAGAATTATTTCTCATAAAAACTTATGTTTTTATTACAGAAAATACATTTGTACATTAAAAATGTCTTTTAAGATTACTCAAAATCAAACTTGAGATAAGTGAAGATAAAACTTTGTGTACTGGTTATTGCATTTAATATCAATACCAATATACTTTTACTCTTTATTAAAATCTTTACTACATCACTTCAACAGGTATCTACTTTAATTAATGTTCAGGGAATATATGATTTTAAAATTTAAACAAATTAATATCAATTAATTAATTTAAACAAATTAATATCAATTTTATAATTAAATTTTCCCAATTCTTGAGAGTAAGAATGAATTTCTAAGGCAGTAAATAGCTATTAACTTATGTTAGGAAACATAAATGGACTCAGATAACAGAATGATAGCACATTATAAAATAAATCAGTAGTAATAAATGTTAGGACAACAAATAAATTCCAGTTAAAGATGATGGGAAAACACTGAAATAGAAGTTGACCTGAACTGAATTATTACTGGGAAAGACTGCCATAAATACAAACATTTTGCTTTTGTTTTAACATCCCTACATGTTTGTTTGTTTGTTTTTAACTCCTGAGGCTTAATTTTTAGAGGGTAACACATTCTAAAGCATCAGTGATTTAGATACTTACTCTTTTGAGTTTCAGTCATTACTAAACAACAACTAGTAATAATCTAAAGCTAAATGAAAAGTCCTTATGAGTACCACTCCTACAAAAGTTAAACACAACAGAGTATGTGGAAAAGACTATTTTCAGTAAGAGAAAGTTCCAGACAAGTAGAGATAATACAAGCATTGCAGTCTTTATCACTGTTTCATTTCATCAAAATCTTTTAAAAAACATTATTTCTCATTCCTTGATCCTTTAGTTGTCAACTTTATGAAATTTATTCCTTTATAATACAAAGATGCATTAATAGCCATTGAACACTATATATCTAACAATGTATCTCCTCAAAAAGGAATTTTAGCTGTGATTTCTGATTTTTCTTGGCTTTCTCTAGTGTTATGAGGGAACATATGGCTTGCTGCTCATTATAATTTCTGCCAATGCATCTGCTAGTTTCTGTTCTAATTTTATTCCAACTCCTCCTCCTTGACTTCCTGTCACTTCACTTTTTAGCTTTGGCACAACAAAGTAAAGTGTTCCTTTGTGTCAGCCAAACCAATTTATCACACATAATTTTTACACCTAATTCTAAACTCAATTATAACAATATTTTGAGGTTAACTACCACATAACACTTTTTGTTCACTTACCTTTGGAATGACCCTGCAATAACGCGTTAAGAAATGTGGAGAGGTAGGCCATAAAAAATGTCAACAAAATATGGAAAGAGGTATGATGAGGTTGCAGGAAAGGGGACCTGGCCCAGTGTAGTAGTAAAACAAGAGCTTCTTGAGATAGAACATAATTTGTAACTTAAAAGTGAGGGGACAAGGTGATCATTGTAGCTGCAAGAAAAGGAGTCATGGTGTGGAAGCCTGTGAACTTTACTCTGAAGGATAGAAATGATATCAACCTGAAGGCAATAAAATTTTAGTTAAACTCCTCAGACTTGCAAATCACATCAAGGATGACAGAAGAGATTCCTACAAATCATTCTTAAGAATAGTCATATCATTCTATGAATCAAGAAGGGGAACAAGAACTTAAGGTAGTTCATGAGACTAAAGTTATAGGCTTGATGGGTTCTTGCTGTATCAGAGTAGCAGGGGAATTTATGCCCTAACGACTATTGTTTGATATGAAAGTAGAAAATGGAATAAGGCCATTATTAATATTCTGAGAAAGGCTATCCCTATCACAAAAAGAGTCTGAAAAGGGCAGCAAAACACCACTGTCTTGGAGCTATGGTTTCTCTAGGTAAGAGAAAGATATACAGTCTTGCAGTTAGGACCCGGATCAAGTATCTGTTAACATGGTCCTTAGTTCTATAATAAACCATATTTCTATAGAGCCCCAAGATGCTTTTCTAAGATCTAGTTCTACTCCTAAAGATTGCTGGGAAGTGAAAGCAGTCACAAAACTTCCAAAGGAAATTAACCATTTAAGAGAAGGAAAAGCAATATCAAGTGAGCCAGCAAACAAATCAATAAAAATAAATTCACAAAAGCAGAGGTAGGTGGTTATATAATCTGATCAACCTGAGGAGGCTTTTATTATGTTTAAAGGAGGAAAAAATAATTCTGAATAACAGACTAAATTAAATAATATCATTTGATATTTGATATTAAACAACAAAAAGTTTAAGTAGTATCACAAAAGATGACATAATACAACAGAACAGTTATATGGAAATTACCATACCAAAGTTAACTAAGTGATTTACCACATAAAGCACACAGAATGAATACTAATTTTTTCCTTTTCTACCTTTAAGCTACCTGATTCTCGGAAGACAATAAAGAATTTATGAAATATCATATAAGAATTTACCTTTTAAACATGATAATCATGAAAAAAGATCACAATAGGACCAAGAAAGCATGTCATCATTAGCCAAAATTAGTAGCAGCAACAACAAAAACCCACAGTTTAATAAGACACTCTTACTGAATACTAACCTTAAGATCACTTTATCAAATCCAATTCAAATGTACTAAAACCAGTAATATTACAAAAAAATTAATTCCATTAGGTAATTCTATTTCCATTCATCTAAATGAAGAAAGGATGAAAGAAAGGAGGAAATGAGCAAACTAGATAATATTTATTGATTTTATCAATGGAACTTTTATATTTTCTTCTTTCCATATGGATTGCTCAAACAAGGTTAAGAGAATTCAGTAAGGTGGTTGAATAGCCAATCTCAAGGAGAATTTATATTGTCATCAACATGGTAAAACAGACTGCTATATTTCAATAAATCTATATTTGAAGAATAGTAAATTCCACAAAGAAAAGTAGAAAGCGAATAATTGAGTAAAAAAAATTCTAAAGAAAATCTGTACATAATTCTACATGCTTCAGGTCTTTTTCATTAAATATACATCCTGCTCAACTTTGAACTCTAAAAGGTTGGCCATTATCTCTTAAGATTAAAGTGCATACAAATCCCTCCATCACCAATCTTTCCAGTCTCATATACTTTCCATCATTTTCTGCCTTAAATTTCATGCTCTAATAGTACTTCTATTTGATTCTTCCTTGTTCTTACCAGTGCTCCTGTGCTAATAACATTGTTCCTTCTAGTTGGAACACACACCCATCTTCACTTCACCTGCTTTATATCTTTCTATGCTATTTCAGTGGTCATTCTCTACCATTTTTCCTGATAACTCAAGAGCAAAGTACCTTCCTGTGTTTTCACAGCATCTCATTACACCTATTGTGTTCAATATTTTTTTAATAGTTGTGTTCAATATTTTTAAAAGATTATATTTCTGCTTTTAGTTATGATTAAGTAAGTGGCAGCAAACCTACACCCCAACTGAGAATAACTAGAAAAGCTGCTACAACAACCTATTTTTAAAAGATACCAGAACTACTGGAACAACTAAGCCACGAGGAGCCAAGATTCTGGAGAGGGAGTAAACAAAAAGAGATGAGTCGACATTCTGTAGTTTTCTTTAGGATGTTTTCCTTTCCCAAGGAGGGCAAAAGACTAAAAATAAACTAACAGAGCTTTCAGAGTTTACAGAGCTAGAGTCAAAATTTGAAGATTCGATGAGCCAAGAACCTAGTGGGGAGTGGTCAAAGATCTATATGCCATTCTCAGCTGATTTTCCCCCTTTAAGACAGTTTTCTGAATGAAATACTGAAGGTAGACACAGGGAACTTAAATGCTAAGCAAAAAAACCCTGAAAAGCAATCATGAGTTTAGAGGACAATTTAACACCCTTCAGGAGGAAGGGGGTCCTGGAACAAACTAAGCTCTTAGCTGGAACCTACAGATTCACTCTAGGAATTGGGGCAAACCAGAGATAGATAAAACCGTATCCGACTGCAACCCAGGCTCCCATCAGTTCAGTCCCTCCTCAGAGTAAAGTGTTGGCTCTCTAAAAGAAGGGATTGGATTTTCAACTGAAGTTTCAACAATTTATATAACACAATGTTCAACATTAAATAATAATTATTAGGCATGACCAAAAAAAGAAACAAATTTTAAAAATAGGCAAAAAGATCTATATTTTTATCAGAAAAGTATTTAATATAAGAAATTAAAGTAAAAGGAGAATAGATGAATTTACACAAAGTAGAAAGAGAAAATAAATAATTTTAAGAAAATAAGTGTACAATAAGGAAAAATCAATAGAACTGAAAGTCTAATTGGCAGATCTTTAGCAAGACTGAACAAATAAGAAAAGCATAAATTGTTAATTCAAAAATTTTAAAAGCAGCACCATTATGAGGTCTTCAGATGTTAAAATTATGGACAAATTCACATAAATTTGAAAAATGTAGATAAAGTGAATAAATTTCCTGAAAAACATAATTTACTTAAATTGAAAGAATAAATGAATAGATGTCAGGCCCAGAATCTCTATTTTTAAGAACCCTTTTGGGCAATTCTGATACATTTAGCACTACATATAACCCAGTGATCCAAGCGCCTGCGTTTTAAAAGCCAGATGTGGTAGTGCACACCTGGAATCCCAGAAACTCTAGAGGCTGAGGCAAGACAATCCAAGTTTGAGGCAAGTCTCAGCAACATAGCAAGGCCCTAAGAAACTTAGTGAGACTCTGTCTCAAAATAAAAAATAAAAGCAGCTGGGGATGTGGTTCAATCCCCAGGGAATTTTTTCCCAGTACAAAAATAATTTTTAAAAAGGGCTGGGCAATGTAACTCAGTGTTTCACTACCACATGCAAGGAAATTCAAAGTCAAATCACTAAGAAATTACTATAATATATTCTATCATAAGTACAGAAAGCTGTAAAAGCACATAGAGAAGTTGATAGGTGTATATAGTCTT